TTGTGCAAACGTATACGTTCACTCCCTGCGTTACAAAGGAATGGGCGGTGGTTCACGCAACAGCTTCGGCTAACATCAGCTTCGTCGGGCAGAAGACCGGCGTGAAGTGGAAGTGTTATACATACGTAAGTGTAATACTTCTGCGGTCTGGTAAGTGGTACGTGAGGTAGTCGGGGCCCACTTTTTTAAAAAGTGGCATCTCGCACCCTTCGGGTGTTGCAAGTGTCCATGGGCGGTGGTTATCACTTAACATCAGCTGAACGGCCAGCTCGCTTGCCACCTTTACACTGAAAAAACTAAGAAAAAAAAACTTTTTACCTAACCATTTTTTGGTCAGGTATAAAGTTTGTTTATGAACTTTCGATTTATAACATATTTTTTTTTTGTTCTAAAACCCTTCAATTAGAACAACAATAAGTTCTGTATAAAATATTTAATGGATATTGTGAATTGGTTAATTCACATAAATATGTACTTAAACAAGAAATACTTGTTTACGTACATAATTATGTGAATTTGACACATTTGACACACGTATAAAATTTCAATATATTTTATTAATAATTTCAATTTTTATAAATTATATACGAAACTTGAGAAAGAAAAATTGGCACGTCAAATTGTAAAGAAAGATATATTTTACACATAATAGATACAAATTTAATTGTAAGCATTCGCTTGGTATAGCTATTGTGCACATTATTCTTAGTCAAGCTTGGCGTGTTACATAAATGGTTTATCGTGTGTCCACTCAGTGAGATCGTTCAAACACACGAGCTCATAAATATTGCAATTAAAATGCGTCCTCGGTTATTACACCCGAATTCATGCATGCCAAAGAGTGCACAGATTGCTCAGCTGTAAGAAAAAAGTGAAAACACGCTCGGACGAGCAACGACCACTAGACGACCAACAGCAAGCGTCACTTCTTCCAACGCACTCTTTTTGTTTTTATTTTATCAAAATGTTTACATGAAAAAAAAAGGAGTCAAGTTTTGGCAATCGTTAAGTCATCAAGGTGAACGCCACTCTTACGTACAACAAACTTCATTCGACGCCAGTCTCATTCGATTGAGATATTTAGTTATTTCAGGGAAAGTTTTAGAACTGACACTAGAATACCAACGAAGTTGTTTGTTAAATAATTCAAATGTTTGGCAGTTTTGTATACTTTTGGTATTAAACATTGTGCCACATAAAATTTATGCATGGGGACGCAGATTGAATCAAGGCAAACATTACACATAAAGCGTTCGTTGACATCAATATATCAACTACAACTAATATTGAGTTTACCAATTCAGTTCAGTTTTGCAGAGCAAGGTTTACAAGTCAGATTTGTTATTTGGTATCTTAATCTATAGTTCTTTATTGATGATGGAGTTGCGGATAGTGTCGACCTACGAGAGGAATTTATTTTACTTCTAATCTGTTTTCGTCGTAGGTCACTCCAGTTGTTTTTATAAGCTTTTATTTACTGTTATTTACATTATTTACTGTTCCGGTGTCTATATTTATTTTACAAGTAAAATTTGTTTCCTTAATTTTTAATATTACACGAACGACGAAACAAGGACTACGTGGCGTAATTGCCAAGGTAATTGGCTCGGGCATCGGAGGTCATGGGTTAGATTAGGACACGGGACAATAATTTGTGAAATCCACACACAACTGTTTCGGAGTGTTTGACCACGTGAATTTATGTATGTATGTAAACATTCTTACAACATCATAATCATGTCAGCCGTAGGACGTCCACTGCTGAACACAGGCCTCCCCCATTGATTTCCACTTCAACCGGTCATTAGCGGCCTGCATCCAACACGTGACATACACGAGATAGAATCCCACATTTCTTTGAACTGTGTACTAAGAAATTGGATTTCTGGCTTTTAGTTCTCACACCGCCTCCAGTGTTGAGTTAGATTTAAGAATAGTGCTAGTTATCACCTCTTTCTTTTGCGATGTGGATTAGCTGGTCAGAGATGGTAAAATGATGGCTTATAGTATGAATGATACGATGACCTTGCGGGAAAAACGAATAATAAATGTGTCCTAAATGCACTTAAATTATCGCATAAAATTTACATTTTCCAAAAATGGTGTTAAACAAATGTCGTTCAGTAATATTTTTACGTAACATCTTAAGTAAAATAATTCAACAAATTAAACTATAGCAATTCCCTTTTTCTGTGGTAGGGCCATGCAACAGTACCACGGTCTCACAGAAGAACATCGTGAAGTGGAAGTTTTAAATTTTCGCGTTTCGTCTGGTGAGTGAGCTAACAAAAGAGCTGTAGGGCCCACATTTTTATAGGTTGTCAACGGATTATGAAATCGTTGGGTGTTGTAGATGTCCATAGGCGGCGGTATTCATTTAACATCAAGTGAACCGCCCTTTTGTTTGACAAATTTTCACATAAAGAAACCTTAAGTGATATTGATTAAGAAATATTTTACTTTTAAATAGATATACATAATTATGTAAATAGGCAAAAATGCTTACGCATAACATTTAATACAGATGCTACTTTTAGCAAGTTTCAATGATATTTGTCACTAAATTACGGCATCGTAACATGACATCGATAAATGTAGCTCAACCGAATATTTTGACATGAGCTGCGTAAGAAGGAAGTGTAAATAGATATTCAATGTTGCAAAAATTGGTGTTTACAAATAATAATAGGATAGGTTGGTAAATAATTTAGTGAAATGATAAAAACAATCCATCATTGAATAATGTATCATTCATCTGAATAAATTAATCACATTGGAAATCTGTAGTGACATATGAGAATATTGATATTAATATTATGATTAAAAGTGTGTTAAGTTCTTCATTTTTTTACTTCCTTAAAATAATGTTAGAGTGCAAAGGCAGTGGTTGGGTCACATTTTATTCGAGTTATGACTTTACAAGACTTTTATGTAACTACAAAAAATAACGATTAGTAAATTAACCAACATGGAACTATCGTTGCGTTGTCAAAATAAGCCTCGTTAAAATATTCAAAACTTTTTCTTTATAAGAATAGTCAACTTTGACCTTATTCATTGCCGCATATAATTATGTACAATGTATATATTTTCTTATATCTACCGGTAGCCCTGATCTTCACAATCTCAAGTTCTGTCAATTTGAATAAAATTCCCATTCTAAATGTAAACAAGAAACAAGAGTTTGTAAAGTTTAATTTTTGAAGGTCATGGAAGAAATTAAATATGCTTGATTTTGTTTTACTTAAATTTAACAACATAAAAATCAAATTATACAGCACATTGATTGTTTGAAAATACGTGTGCTCTATTTTTATTAAACCAACCATTATTCATTACAACGATTGAATCATTTTGTTAAGAAATAAACATACTTGACTTTCAAATATTTTCAGCCTTTAAGGCTAATGAAGAAACTCTAAGTATAAAAGAATTAAAATAACGTGTGTTTGTGTAGGAAGTGTATTTAAAACCACCAAACAATTTTTGATCTTCAAATATATAGGCCGTGACTTAGATTTCATAACAAGATCACCTCTCACTGTTGCATGTTATAAATGAAAGGTAAATTGTGTATGCAGATGTAAGGTGTGTATATTGTTTATTTTCTGTTTGAGTAGATCCATAACCCCGTTGAAGAATCTCATTCCCACCTCATATTGAAGCATCATGTATTTATCAGAAGTAAAAAATGTTGCAATGTAATAAATAATGCATTTATTGATGCATTTGTGTAATATTTTCATGATTGAACTATTAAATTACCTGAATTTTCATTTGAAAATTTGTAAAATTTTACTTGAATAAAAAAGACTAGAACCAGGCCGATTTTATTTAATAATTATTAGGATAGCTTTCGTAAGAACAAAAAAATATGCACAGATTTACATTTGGATGATGCAAGACAAAGCTTCTTTCTCTTATAACGATATTTCTTTGTAACTTGCGCAATTTCTGATTATAGCTGAATGTTGGACTACTTTTCTGTTGTCATAAATATCTTATTCAAAGATGAGAGTAAAATTATTTGAGTATAAAAATATAATAATTTGAAAATGTTGTAAATATTTACTTTGTTTAATAATCATTAATTAAACAAACACGTAATAAATCAATATCAAAAAACCTGTGGCACTCGGTGACTGCCGCGGTAAAGCTATTGCATAGCATTTTTATCAACTTATGCAATCATATTTATTTATTTTTTATTTATGCAGTATTTTTTTTCCTTATTCAAGTTACACGTTTTGAGTGTGGAGACCGATAAGAAAACAATTTTCTTTCTTTTTTTTAAAAAAAACATTTCCCTTACTTGAGGATAACATTATCCAGTGTTGTAAGGACATTTTTGCAAACATAAATTTCACGCGAACAAACTCTCAGATGCGAAACAACTATGTGTGGGCCACACAAATAGTTGCCTCGTGTGGTAACCGACGCTGAAGCCAATACCTTGGCAACTGCGCCACAGAGTCATCAAATTATTGAATAAATGAGGAGTTAATATCGTTTAAAATATTTTTATTATCTTACAATACATGTAGGTTAATCAGGAATTTTTATCATTGAAACTATAGGTTTATGGTAACTGAAATAAGAAACATAAGTTTGAGACTTATTATCCTCTTAATATAATATTATAATATCCATCCGTGCGAGCTTCATACAGTCGTACCATATACATATACGTTAAGCGAAAGCTCTGCCGACCTTTTTTTTTGTTACATGGGGAAATCCATTATGGATACCTGGCTCTCCGGTAAGAACCAAGTTATGTCGGACTCACACCGACTAAAACCCCATGGTGGTCGCCATCTGCCGATGAGGGGTCACGGGATCTCATTCGGAACACTAGCGCGGCCCCTCCTTAGCTTGCCTATGATAGCCCTTTCGGGGACGGTATTACGCTAGCCCTAGCATCCCCGCGGTGGAGACTACTTAAAGCCACCGACTTCCTTTAGGCTTTACTGGACAGTTAAGGGATTCACCCCAAATCGCTCATGACCCCTAAGGCCCCGTTTCTGGCAGGGGAGCACCATTTCCGTTTGGAGGGCCTTGACGAGGCCCATAGATGCGTCGGTGGCCCCATCTCCGAGTGGGATCAGTTCTTTCTCGATCCCGCTCAGCAGCCTCTTTCTGGACCAAGAACGTCTCACAGAAAAACGCTACGGCGCTCCATGCCGTTTCTCCTCTCATCATCGCCGAAACAACTGGTGGCAGAGTGAGATTTTGCCCTGTGATCGCCGCTGCATCCAGGTGTCGAAGACTTCGGTCGCTTTGGCGGACGCTGATGGAGTAGTTACTCCATGGAGCGTCCTCAATTACTGACGCAATATCCGATTAGCTTTATTAGGAAGAGGTTGTTGGTGAGCTTATAATAATATAAGCATCAATATATATATATAATTTATTTACAAACATGAGAGAACTGCTATGTCAGTCACTAAGATGTTTGGATAGTAAAATTACAATATACTAAGATTTTTAAACTTTTGATATCTTTCAAATGGAATGTCCGAATTAAATAATTCCAAAAGTTATATCCTTTTTAGCAGCGGCATTTCAATCAAAATTTTAAAATAAAAACATTTATTATGGCATAATTATAATAGTTAGACATATGCTGTCACGACACTTTTGGTACATAATGATGTCTGCAAATTTGTAGTACATTATTTTATTCTATCATCAATAGTTTTCGCAGCGCACACGATGTAAAGAATATTTTAGGTAATTTTTGTACGCTGGTTTACATTACTTAAGTTTTAGTATGGATCCCTAGTTTTTTTAAATATTAAATAGCCTATGTCATCCGGGGATAATGTAGCTTCCCAACAGTGAAAGAAATTTGGAACGGTTTAAAATGGGTACAGTAGTTTCGGAGCCTATTCAATGCATAAAAACATATCAAATCTTTCCTTTTACATGGTAGGCGGAGTGGGTGGTGTTAGGTTTTATTTTCGTTACGGAATATCTTTATTCGGTTGCCACACTCAAAGCCCACGATAAAAGCTATGCAATAGCTTAAAAATTTGTACAGAAAATTATTCCTTGAAAATCTCTCCATGAAATTGGTGCCGTAATGTATTTTTTGTAAAATGAGTAGAAAAAAAATTATAACGACCGAAAGAAGATTTGTTTCCAAATCAGTTTTATCTATTTTAAAAAAATTCTTACCAATTTCCTTTCTGATAAATAGTTATCCTTATAAAGCGTAAAAACCATTCGAATCCATTTCACAAGATGGCAGCCGCAGGAAGACACTCGCCTTGCGAGCCCACAAACATGGTTTTAAATTTACACTGACGTCCTTTTGCCTTAAAAAAATATTGCGTGTTCTGACTTTTGTACGCTAAGTTCAAAAAAATAAACCTAGCATTTCACTGGATTAAATGATAATGTTGTTAAAATTTTTAACTCTTGCGCATTCCACTGTCATCTAAATATTTGTTGGACGGTACGCTTTATAATAAGATAATTGCTGCGACTACAATATATCTTGTGCAAACAATAAAAATATAAAACTATTGCTCAAAAATTTAATCATTGTCTTCAAAGTTTTCGTTTCAGATTACCACAACGTAATTTCAAAGGCATGTTTCAGTTTTATACAAACCAAGTAAACATCATCGCGCATGGTTTCATTATGTCATTTCAGATGATATTGTTTAGTCATCATTCTCACTTTTATTGTTATACGAAAAGAAAACCAATAAAGAAAAGAAAATTAATCAACAAGTGATGGTCCACAGATAAAAAATACGTAGCATGAGTGCGTGATACGTCGTCGTATGTTTGGTAGACAAAGCAAATTCTTACGAATTAATAGTTACTTTTCATGCAATTATTATATTATTGAACAGTCAATTTTCATGTGAATCTAAGACATAACGTTGAAAGTAAGCAGTTATCAATAAGCTACCGTGCATTATATTTGTCTACAACACGCAGTTCATACGCATCAAGTCACACAAAACTACATTATTAACAACACATTTTTATTTAGAACAGGAATATCGTTTTACATACATTTTTATAAAATATTTGTCGCAACTTTGCGTAATTGATAGTTCATTAATTAATTTCGTTATAATTTCTCTATTGGATTACTAAACGAGACAAAATTTTTTCAACATGCAAAATGTTGCGTCATGGAATGTAACATATTTCTTAGTATGCTATTAAATATTTATCATTATCTTTTATCTGCATTTTATCCACTTTTTGGTATTTTATATTTCTTTTCTATTTAGCTAGGTTTGACTCAAATAGTATATTTCAGTTTAATTTTCGGGGTTCCGTACACATAGGTTAAACGGGATCCCATTACTAAGACATAGTGATAGTAAGACGGTTGAAATTTTTACAGATGATGTATTTCTTTTGGTGCTATAACATCAAACAGAATAAAAAATATTAAATGGGGCTCCCTTACAATAGACATGATTTTTTGACAGTTTTTATAGACAATGACACGATTCGTACGTTAGGTAGCAATTTTTTACAGCATTAATAGCAACGGTGACTTCTCTCGTTCTTTGTCTGCTGTAAAGAAGATAACAATAGATGCGCCAGGCATTGCTTAAAATGCAAAATAGCATTGTAGATATAATACGTTAATATTTTAGTCAGTGCGGCAATTTATCTTAATGCTTAAAGCGTCTGAGTGTGATTCCGAAAGACGTGGGTACCAATTTCCGTAGCAGCAGAAAACTTTTCGTCCATTTTTTTTTTATTTTTTTATTTACTTTGATTTAATCATTGTTAGAGCTTGTTTACACCAGTCGAGATACAAAAGTCATTAATACAAGAACAGATGTGTATTTGCATTTTAAAATTAAAAAAAAATATAAGAAGTGAGAAATTGTGATGAGATAACAAATACATTTTCACACATACTTTTCCATATATAATATAAAAACTGACATTACAAGTCCAGGTTTCTGAATCAGACATAAAAGTTGGCTGCTTCGGAGAGATTGCGTATTAAAGTAGTAGTATAATTTAAAAATACTGAGTACATTTTAAACCTAAAATATATTTTTTGTAAGCTAGTAATTTTAATATTTAATATTAAGTGCAGAGATTAGCACTTTAAAAATTTAAATACATCACTGTTTTAAATCAAATTCAAAAAAGGAGGAAGTTCTCGATTATACTGTATTTTTTATGTTTGTTACCTCATTATAAACTTTCGACGTTTTATTTGTTTATTTGATAGCTGGCATTTTATAATTGATTTTCAGAAGCTCCCAAGACCCCTTACCTATTAAATTAATATGGGAATACATGGGATGCACCAGCTTTCAAATAAAAAAAGAATCCTCAAAATCGGTTCACTCAGTAGAAATTTCCGAGGTAAAAAACATAAAAAAAATACAGTCGAATTGAGAACCTCCTACTTTTTTGAAGTCGGTTGAAAATCGACTCGAATTCACGTTAAATTTAAAAAAAAAATGTTTCTCTTTTACAACTAAAAAACTGAAATGAAAAAATTGAACGTGACATAATGATGCATTCCAAATTGAAGTATATCAAGTTTGCTGATTGTGAAATCAACGGCATAATTGGTTGTTTATTTCATCATACTGAATTACGGAACTTTATAAAGTGTTATTTTATGTTAAAAATTCATTGTTTTTAATTAATACATTTTTAAGATTTATTATATTTTTGAGTTTAGATAGGCAGGTCATATTTTAATTCCACATAACGATGGCTCCTACGTAAAGGGGCGAAACTGCCGCTTACGCCTTTTTCCCTATTGTTAGCGCAATAAGTTTACTTTGCCCTATTCTATGAAAATAAAAAAAAAAAAAAATTTTCTTGTTAAATCCAAAATTAAATTTTAGGCAAATAAGGGTATGTGCACAAATTAGTCGCGTATAAAGCCCCGTGGAACAATCGGTCCATGTACGTTGGGGATGTGGCGAAGGGGTGGGGGTTTCGCTTCAGTTATTTTACTCAGTTTTTGGCTATTGTCTTTTATAATAGCTGTACTCGTGCCTTTTTAGCGAAAAATAATTTATAAGTTAACGAAAATGATACCAAGAAAAGATGTACAAGAGCCCAAAAAATTATAGATAAAATCATAAATAAACACAACAGCACCGATTTAAGCCTCGAACATGAGCCTCGTAACCAAAATAATGACATGGAATTACACATTATATATTTCCTCATTACATTACATTAGTGAGTTAAAATTTTTATTTCATTACCTCGAAATTTATTTTTATAACTGTTAATTGACTGAAAACCTCGTAGAGAGGTGTAAAATACCATCCACATTTTCACGTAGTTCGGTTTTCGTTATATCATATGCGCCTTTTTTAAACATGATATTTTTCGTAACTTATGAAAAATATTTTAAAAATTTCATTCATAACAAATATTACTATGTATCTGGCTTACTAAGATAGCGCCGATAGACAGAGATTACAATACACAAAAAAAACATTTTAATATAAAGACATATTTATTAATATTTATTCTCGTATATGGGCGGAAGATCACATGAGCCTTTTTAGGTGGAATAATAAAAGATGAATAAAAAAAATCAACGATGTAAAAAGTCGAAAGTGCAAAATCTCGAAATATATTTTAATTACACAAAAATTAGTCTCAGCGTGTTAAATAACACGACATATTAATACTTAATGCAAAATTTCAAAAAAATTGCTTCAGTACTTTACAAGATTTGACCCAAAATACTTTTCTGGCTTATAATATAAAAATACTTTTTACTTTGAGTTACTGACCAATACTACTTTTTTTTAATATATTTCTTTCTATCTGTGAACCTGTGATTATTCATGGTCAATCCTTAAATAATTTAATCAGTAATTTGTTTACGTTCTTGAGAAAAACTTGATCCACTGAATACTTTATATAAGTTTATTGAAAAGTATTTGTTTCTCTTTCACTCATCACTTTAAAGGAAAAGGAAACCGAAAAAAAGGATTTGTTTGCTGACTTCCGAATCGTTATTTCGTAAGCACCGCGTGTATATAATAGATATCATTACTGCCTATAAGAAGCTGTTTGTATGCTAATTATTTGTTACGGCACTTAATGCAACGTTACGACGTAATTGTATTGATGTATATCTAAGCCATTAATATGGGCTACGATCCAACAATTATACAAAAGTCCGGTAATCACTCATTACGTCAGGAACTTAGTATTGACTGATGCTTTAGTGGCATGATGAATTATTAAAATATTATACCATTGTGTCTGTTGGAAGCAGTTCGTTGATAATTTCTCATTGTAACCGTTTCGTGGTAATTTAAATTTTTTGTCGAACGATTGCAGTTGCAAAAGACATTTTACAGTCCATCGTGATCATCATCGATGGGTGTTCGAAATTTTTAGGTAGTTTAAAATAAAAGGTCGTTCGTAAATCATCGATCAAAAGCTAATTAGGAAAGAACATTAAGCTTTTTGCCTCCCTAGGTCTTACTTCATGATCACAGATTGGCGGAATGCAAGAAATCTAAGCTCGATTCGTCTTACTTTCTAACTGTGTTATAACTGCACTGGTAATATTGTTGCTTTGCATTCAGCGATCACAAATATGCGTATATTCTAAAATGTTATACGTATTATGAATATGAATGAGTTAAATCTATAAATGAATATGACCGGTTAAGAAAGAGAAAATTATTTACTTACGTCAAGACGCAGTCAAGCTTAAGTTTAATTTTTATGTCTATTAAAGTGATTTGCTTTTTTGTAAATATTGATCAATGAAACCGTGCACGTTTTATGTCAATTTTTTTTGTGTAAATTGTAATTTCAGGGCTATTGGTTCTTAACCAATTTCGGCTACAGTGTCTGAAGTTGTACCGTATACTCTAGGTGGTAAAATATTTGTTTCTATCAGTATTTCTTTCATATTTGTATATGCCAAAAAACTTAATGACCCGTGAATGATTCAAAAGCTGTTAGAATATTCAAAAGTAGAAATTAGTTTTAAGTAATTTCCGTTTTACACAGTCATTTAGTTAAAGAGTTTCGATATACACGAATATTTTAATTGTAAAAATTGTCTATTGTTACCTAAGTGAAAGTGAAACGCCTATACGAGTGAATGAATTTCTCAAAACAAAGTTGTAACATTCGGTATTATCTTCCTAACTAATTAAATTATAAGGTTCACGATTGCTCAACTTTAATTTTGTTGCACGAAAATGTTTCTTTTCTCTACATAATAATCGCGTTGCGAGCAAGCCAGAAACAGCGGACGAGTTCCCGTCATTGTTAGTGAATTTACATTACGTACAGCTAACGGCACATTTACGTGATTCAGATCGAACTGATCGACTTCTACATACATTTATTCAGTTGCAAAACACAAACACACATATATCTATCAAATACGTACTGTAGAGGCTCGATTAAATATTGCTTTATTCGCACATTATCTTATGATTGTACTTGATATATTAACTAAGGTAATTTAGGTTGAAGTGGAATATTCACATTATTGGCAAAAGCGCAGCGATTGACAAACACTTGGCATGAGTTTACTTATACACAAATGAATTGAAAGCGCCACTGTCCAATGACATGATATATTCTCTAAAATCATGTGTAACCTTTCACTTTACACATAATATTCAAGTGTACAAGAATTTTACAAGAAAAGCCGTTTTTAATCATGAATACGACAACAATGACTTTGTGTACCCGTGTTAATTATTTTGTTTTTCCAATTCCCATCACCATACTCTGTTTATTTATTAAATTTCCTGTTACTCGTAAGCGTACCGCAGCTGTTGCGCGTAATTAATGATCATATAAGCTAATATTTCAATTATCCTACAAAAAAGTAACAAAAACTGTATTTATAAATTAAAAGCGCCACAGCATAACAAAAAGCTGTTTTGAAGCATAAGTAACAAGCCAAATGCAGTCCAGGAAGAGTGAAAGCACGCAATCGAAATTAGCGTACCAGCCGCACGTGTGTTTTGGCTGTGTGAGTGCTTTCGGACAAGCGGAGCCTCACGGCGCATCTTACGAGAACGTTTCCGAGGTATAAAAGAAGGTAACGAAGTGATTCACGGACCCATTGCTCTGCACATGCCCAGCCGAACATCGGAACAACAGGTATGCGGTGCACGTGCGTTCGTTTACTCAAAGGTTACAATAGTGATGTGACGTGTTGTGATGTGATAATAATCTAATAAAGGCTCGTTTTCTTTTGACAGAGTCCCTCGGTGATAGATTCCAGAGGTTCAAGATGCGGTGGTTAGCGTTGGTAAATATTTCAATTATATAATACCCAGTAAATTTTGACACAAGCGATTGTCTGATTTTAAAGCTTGTATATTAATTCTATATTTTGAACACGTAAGGTTTTCTAACATATAAGTTGACAAGCAATATGTTTTCAACATCAATACAATTTTTTTATTTAAAAGTTCAGAGGTATTCGTTATTACAATGACAACGTGGAAAAACAATTAATATTTTTATCAATATAATATAATAAATTTTATTACAGATTTATGTATTATGTAAATTTCAAATTCATGAAGACTATTAGCGACCAACGACTAAAATTTAATTAAAAGTGGTAATAAATTAAATTATTTGCATAGTAAAAGTTTTATCTTTAGTTAAAGTTTTATCGATAAAGACTAATTCATATAATTTACATGATCCTTCAAAAGTGCCCAACAGATCAAATTGACAAAAGAAAAAATTTTACCCCGTTATGATAAAGCTTATTTGGAAGTTACAAAAGTCATTAATTAATTTTAAAGCTGTAAAGGCTAAGCGTTGAAACTTATCACACATTACTGTATTGGAAAGTAATAAATAATAATTTCCCATTTTATTAGCTTATCCATATCAAGCACCCAGATTAATATGGTATGGAAGGTAATGACAGATCTTTTTGCCATTTTATTAACTTTATTATTAAGCACCGGGAACTTCAGAAGGTTTACTTTTGTGACCTTAATCAATCTGTGACAAATAATTATAACGATGATTTTTGAAGATATTTTTTTATTGATATTTAGCATAAACTTGTTAATATCTTCAAATTAATTCAATTAGGAGACTCAAGTTTACATAAAGTTAGAACTAGTCGTTTATGATAAGACGAAAGATAATAACCAAACACTTACTGAAAGTGTTTACTGTGTAACTAAAACTAAAAATCAACTTATTTATTATTTTTAGTTGTCTTATATGCAAACATTTTATGTCTCCAATTTCCTAACAACAAACCTAACAATCTAAGAGATCATACACAGCCTATGCCCTGATACTCTCTATACAGAGGAGGCCTTTGGCCAGCAGTGGGACATGTATAGGCTGATACTTTATACACAGACAAAAACAAGTTAAATGTGCTAAACAAATTTTACCGAGACAGGTAGATTTAACTTTGAAATTACATTTTAATAATAAACAAAAAGAAAGTCGATAGTAATATAATTTATATCTGCATGATTTTGTTATTTATATTTGATTCTATTTCATTAATATAATATTAAGAAAAGGGTGAGTAAAGTAACGTCTTCTAAATGTCCCGTTGCTGGGCAAACGCCTCCTTTGTACAGATGTTATTAAGAAATAGTCCACCACGCAAACCTACTGCAGATTGGTGGACTTTACATGTCTTCTAAATATTTTTGTTATTATTTCGAAAACATGTAGGTTTCCTTACTATTTCCTTCACCACTGAGCGCGTGATAAGATTACGTTAATATTGTATTCTTAATATTAACGTGTCGGCACCGGGGATTGATTTCAGGTTTTTCGAGTATATAGCAATAAAATCGCTCGGACACTGAGCTTAAAACTTTTGAATATCGTTTTATTAACGGACTATTAGAACCAAGTTCTATCCATATCACCATGAAGCAAATGCCAAATTATAAAATAATTTGGCATTTATTACTTTCATTACTTATTGTAAAAATCGGTTAAATAAGTATTAAATCCAATCTTAAAAAATAACTTTCATAGACCGAAATAAAGGAAGTATATGTTTATTCCATTTATAAATTATTACAGAATTATATATATTACATAAATTGTAAAATTGTATCAAGTGTACCAAGTGTACCACTGATTTTAAAAAGGCCATAAGGTTTATTATTATCTGAGTTGATAAGTGGCATTGTTACCGTATCCACAGCTTTGTTTTTTTTGAAGGCCCTCTACAGCATGCATATCTATCACAGACACGGGATGTGTCTGTGATACATATGCATGCTAGCCTTATTTAAAATATTATTTTATGTATTTTCAGCTTGAAAACTTCGATTTACATGTATATAATTTAATGCAATAATTGCACCTACCATGATTTCTCACTACGCCTCGAAAAGAAAGAATGATGATACATTATGCGAACGCGTTGATGTCGTTTTCATTGGACAAAGCATTATAAAGTTTCGGAAAAAAAAGAGTCGCTAAGACATGTTATACTCGTATATTGCACAACGCGGGGGCAGACCAATTTTTTTAGTAAACACTTCAATTTATAAAAATGATTTCTTCTCGGGTCATAATTATATTAGATGCACTATTTCTTAATTAAAATACGCAAATGCCCATTGCAAATTTCAACACTGAAGTACTCAGTGAACGGCATAATATAACACATTTAATTTTATGCTGTGTTAAGTAAACATGTTACATGTTGTGTAATTTATTCCTTGAGTATTTACAGTTCATAACAAGTGAAGAGGTTTAGGCAATATCGACACTTACGCTATTACTGTTAGAGTATCTCATTAGTATATTTAACTGTTATTCATGTAAGTAAAAATTATTTTGGTATTTAAATTGATATAATGTATCCGAATTGTTTATTGTAAACAGAGTTACCAGTTTTTGGGTTTTCTTGTATATATTTACTTTCATCTAAGTTGTCGCCTAGGTATTACCCGAGATAATTGTATGTTGGTACAAATATTTCAATACAAAGTTGAAGGTGGATAGAAACAATAATAAAAATATATTAATTGGTAGTAGTGGGTTAGGATTTAGCTTTGTAATAATTTAGTTTCACACTTGTATAAATATTTTATTCAATTCGAAAAATACTCATAAAATAATCATCATAATAATAGTAAACTTCATTTGGTCGGTTTTCAATACTCTATTGTAGTTAGAATTGATTGGTATCGCAAGTTTGTTATGTAATACAATGTTAATAAGATGATATAATGTGAAATTGACATTTGAGTGTAATGTAATAAACGAATAGACCTTGACTCAGAAGGCTTCGTATTAAAAAAATAGACTTACAAAATAGTTTACAGAGTAAATGTCATGTTTAAAATGTCCATTAAGTAACTTTACAAGAAATAATATACTTTTTCTTACCATCTACATAATTTATCTTACCATAAATAAATTAACATATCACAATTTCAAGAAATTGTCAAGACTTGTCCTGGCCTGTAGGCCAGGAAAGGAAGGAAAGGAACCAAGAATTATTACGATTAGTTTTTTTTTATATTTTCATAACTTATAATTGAATTATTTTGTTGATATCCTATAGGATAGCACATATTAAATAATTTTAAGCTCTATTATTAAGTAAAAAAGGAAAGTTACCTTTGTACTTTTTACAAATGTTGGGCAAAGGCCACCTCTGTACAGAAGATATTATGGCATAGTCCATCGCGCGACCTCACTGCTGATTGGCAGACTTCGTATAACTTCGATTTTTTTACATTGATTGCAACAATTACTACCAATCTATCTAAAATAGACGTGAAGTGAAGTGCTTCCGTAATCTGAATAAAATTTTAAGGAACAAAACGACAAGGAACTACAGTAGGAATTGCAACGACGAAATACTTTTCGTCGTTGCAATTCCTACTGGACGTCGATGCACTTTCACTTTTATTCGACGTCGATTTAATCCGTTAATGTCCACTTTCATCTCGCATTACTCCGTGGGGCACGTAATGTACAACATCTTCTTTAGTCTCAGCACACGTTTACAAAGATTTATGAGACAGAGAGATTATATCAGTCATTGTCACTGAATAATACTAGGTATGTGGTTATTCGATTACATCAGCGAATGTTAATTTTGAAAATTAGTAAATATTTCAGACATTTGCACAACATTTTTAAGAATCATAAGTCATTAAGACGTTATTAAGTTTTTAAAAGTTATTAATACGTCATGCAAAGATCATACGTAAAAAGTTTTAGATTTAAAACTCGGTTTTATGTATGATAAATAGATTTTTGAAAATTAGGTTTTCAAAAATCTATTTATCATAATTACAGAAAAAACACTTTCAGTGATTGCGATTGTTTGCTATTGATAAAGCTTACAGCCTTATATAGCTTTCATCAACGTAAAACTTTTAGCTGTCATTTGTACACATTTAAAAAAACAAATATATCCGACTTATAACTTCCAATCTCTATATATATAACTCTACTGTACGTGTGTTGTCACTGAACTCCTCTAAAACGGCTGGACCGATTTGAATGATTTTTTTTGTATGCGTTTGGGTGGCGCCCTGGATGGTTAAGATGAGATTTTTTAATTTATAAGTTGTTATCGGATAGAAGTCGTGTACAGGACAACGTCTGTCCGGTCCGCTAGTGTAATATAATATTTAAAGACACCGATAGTTGCAATACAGTAAAATAATACTTGTAAAAAGTTTACTGTATATTTGCGTATTATTATGTGTCTTATAAATTTAATTTGAGAAATGTCTACCAATTCTGCGAAATTAAGCTCAAAAATAACGATAAGATTCTAAGACCATGACTATGTTATATAGCAACAACATAGAAAGTTTCTTTAAAAGGAACGGGCATTTGATAAACGAATAAGTCTTGAATAAATTAAAGTTTTAACTGTAAAACAAAATTAAATGTCAGCGATAAATATAAAATATGATATTTTATGCCATAGGAAACGTAGTATGCACAAGTGAAAACTGATTATACAGCATTAATATGAGTATCATCTTTATGTTTGGTAAATCATCCATAAATTTTAAGGATTGAGCTCACCTGCTTTGCCGATGTATATAATGATGATCCTTATTTTACAAAAACAGATTCCGTAATAGGATTACATTCACGTATAACGCTTCATCCATATTTATAAGACAATGTAATCATTAAGTATTACAAAGGTCATTGAAAGTGGTGGATGAAGATATAATTCTACATTTTAGCTTTCGGACTAAATTATTAAAACGGTGTAGATATTGCATTCGTAATAAGTAGAATAATCGTTATTGTAAACTTTAAACAAGTAATAGATGAGTCGAGTAACTGTTTACCGTTGTGTTAGTTGTAGAAATACAAGCATAACGTGTCGCGTTCACTCTTGCGCATAGCTAGGGAAAATAACTGTTATGTAAGGTTACGATCATACCCTATGGTATTGCGCGTACTATGCTTAAAGGTTTGCCAGGTAATATTTGATTCAAGTTATTGGAAATAATGTTAAGCAAGAAGTCTCAAAATTTCCTAAATATAGTATGAGTTTGATTTTTTTTGACTGATTGTTCAAAATACTGTCAATAGGGTGCCGTTTTAAACAAAATTTAATAACCGTACAAATGTACATATGAAGGAATAAAACAATACACCTCGTTTTATAAGTGCTTTGTTTGATTTCAGGTTTTGGTGTGTGCTACCATAGTAAATGTAATTTCGGAACCTGATCCAAAAAAGTATAAGCAAGATGATGGAGAAAAAGATAAAAAATCAGAATCACCTTTGACTGACGATGAAAAATCATTCTTGAGGGAAGTTGAGGAAAAGTTTGGCGTTAAATCAGAGATTCCAGTTGAAAGACAAAAGAATGATTCAGACATTACAATAACAGCAACTAACTCAACTCAAAAAGCCCCGTTTCCGGCTGTAATAGCCATAGAAATAGTAAATGACACAGACTCAAAGTCAAAAGAAAAGAGAACTATAGATGCAAACCTTGGTTATGGGTACCGAACTCACAATGGATATACCTACACTTACTTCGGGAAACCAACACAAGAAAAAGGAAAATTTATGATTTACCCATATTCACAACAAAATGCTCCATCAACTAACGGGCACAGTGCCGAGTACCGGCAGCACTTATCAGAGAAACATTTACAAAGAACAAGCGTAGAAATTCAGCCCTCACAAGCTTTTGAACTAGTATCGGTAAAAGATGGACAGTATGAAGAGAAGACAAGGTCACCAGAGTCTCCACAATCTTATACAAATGATGCACCTACAACACATCCATCTACTTTATATACAACATATAACGGCCAAGAATTAACTGGATTAAGTGGACAATTTCCTAGCTTACAATCGAATTATTTTGTTGAGCCAAAACAACTCCTCGCTAATCCTCAATATCAGGAAGTTGGTCTAAATCAGGATTACTTGAGTACGAACAGCTTGGATCAAAATCGTCCAGTGGTTCCCGTTCTTGTTTTAAGAATTCCGAGTTCATATCTTAAAAATCCTACTGCTGAATTATATGCAAATTTACCAAATAATTATCCGTTATCGCACTATTTAAACAATGTTAACCTTCAAGGATTGGTTAACCAGTATTTTAAAAAGAACGGTTACGATTTTGCTCCTCAAGTGAGGGCCTATCAAAGTCATATTGCTTCTTCCGCTATCACACCAACGGTTTCGTCAGCCTACAGTACTGAACCACAACAATATTCAAATCCCCACGTCCAGCCGTCCTACACTCAAGCTGATTATTCTGGAGTGCAATATTCAGCGGTAAAACCAGTCATGGCAAAGTATCCATCAGGTTTCACGAAGCATTTAAATAGTCAAGCACATTATAGAAGACCAACCCAACAGCCAAAATACGAGTATCGATACCAACATGCCCCTCAACCAAACGCACATACACAAGCCTTTTACGGACAATCGGAGTATCAGAACCAACAGCAGCCAACAGTGGCATCCTACGAATTACAAAATGAACACACTATAGTTAAACCAACTGTGGAAACTGGTAGTTCAGAAATTGGGTCTCCTCAATATACTGCAGGTCACGATACAAAGGTCATCTCCGTGCAATATGACAGTAATGTTCCGTCGCATTCATCACTGGTACCAGAAAATCAGAGTGGCGAGAAATCTCAATATGATTACTCTAAAGAGACTCAGGCTGAGTACAGTCCTCAACAAACTTTGTCTCAAGACTATAACAGTAAATCATTGTCACATTACGAGTCATCTCAAATCGCTAACGCCTATTATTTGCAAAAGCAACCAGGACATGCGGAAGCTTTAAGCTCATATCCTTCTCAAGCCTCAAGCGAAGAACAGGGCCAACAGTCCTATCCAGAATTAACCGCAACGCAGGGTTATGAATATGTTAAACCGGGAGAAGAACAAATCAGTAATTCTTTCTTGCTATCGGAAAATTATCCAAGCAAGGATCAAATCGCAACGGTTTTACCTTACAGATATAAGCCGTTGAAAAGACCGAATACCGCGACGGTTCAAACGGTAAGCTACGTGACTCCCGAACCACATCCATCTAAGTATCAATCGCGTTATAAAATAATGGTACCGCAAACTATACTCAAGAGCCAAGATAGTGAGAAGGTTACGTACGTCAATTCAATGCCCATGCATTATACTAAAGCAGGGTATTACAGCCAAGATCATAGCTCCGAAGAACAGTATAACATCGGAACTCACTATATTCCACAGATAAATAAACAAAAACAACCTTCTTACCCGAAGAATTACCTCAGTTATCTTAAACGTATGACCAGACCCGGTATTAAGAGCGAAGGATCACTTTCCAAAAAGCAGAGTGAAAAGATAACGTCGTAACTCTCGTGAATGTATATGAAATCATTTGTTTTGTAACATATTAGGATAAACCAAGATCGTTAATGGATATTTTCATGTAAATAGAATTCCTTGTTACCACTAAGCTAGATAAACATGTTTTTTAGGCTTGATGTATTTGTTATATTATAACGTAGTCCAATGAATGTCAAGAAACAAAGAAAAAGAAGTGCTGTAGAATAAATGTTTCATCGAAGCTACGAAGCAGCATGGTAATTAAAAGTATTAAAAGTATCTATATTGGATTTACTTTGACGTTCTAATGACCGAGTTCTGTTAAAAGATATAGGAATATCGTCCGCCATTATTTATTTTGCTACATTCTAGGGAAAATGTGGCTGTATATGCGCATGTGCAATATCGTAATGTAATTAGTTTTAAGAATTGTAATAAATTTTTATGAAATTAATTTTACGAATGTTTGAAATGGATTTGTATATTATGTTTTCTAAAAATAACGGTTGTGTTTACCTGAGAAGCACGTAAATTGTTACATTTCCAACCTTGTATGAAATAAAGTAAAAAGGTGCTCCGTTCCTCACGGCTCGTGTCTCTCCTCTATGCTGATTTTGCTCTATACCAGTGTCATCTCAAGATCCACCGGGGGTCACGCTGATGACCCACACATAGATGGTACAAACACACATAATCAATTATGGTCGTCCACGCCTACGAGCAAGGCCGTCTACATTAATACAGACAACAAATTGTCTGAGCAAATGCGTGGCCCTTTCCAATGCGACGGGTATATCAAGCTGGGGGCTGTGGCTAGCCCACAAGCCCCAAGCACTTCCACGGTCGATCAAGCTTTAATATTCTATGGATTGAAGCCAAAGATATTATTTGTTAAAATAAAATGTCTTTGGCACTAAGGATGTGAAAAATATTCCCAATGTTGATGTTAATATCACACTAACTAAGATACAAGATCAACATGATACAGGATTTATTTCTTGATGCAGGTGTCGTCTTGAAAAGTCGTTAAAAAGAACTATTTGCTCTTAATTAAGTGAATTGGTGATGTACACTTATGAAATTTGGGCTGAAACTGCTATTTTAATTTAAACAGTTTACGATTTTTTTTTGGGATGGATGAGCCACTTGGGCTTGAGGTTGGCTGGCGCACGGGGCGCCTAGCCTGAACCTAAACAGTTTACGACTACGGCTTCCATAAATGACACGAGAGGTTATAATTTCGTCCAATGTTTTAAAAAAAATGTATTATTTCACTATTTGTATTAAGTTGCATTCGTGATGTACATTTATGAGCAAATTGGATCAGTGAAAGATGCATATTTTAAAAGAAACACAGTACATTTAAAAACCAACTATTTAAGCTTGACAAGTACCTCGCCTCCTACCAGGGATTACCGTTGTTTTTTATCAGACCGTAAATCATTATTTTAAAATCTTAGGATCTTAGGGGACTCGTCTTTTATATCGATTCGGCCGAACAGGAGAAAATCGGAACGATGGTTTTTCGTATTTATTATGATAAGATGATGAAAAATTATGATTCAAATTATATTATAGTATTTTAAATATACTATAATATAATATACATCTTTTAAAGTGTACTAGGGCGGAGTGTTAGGTCTGGCAAAAACTGAATAAAATTTTTGTAAATTGCAAGAAATTTCCTTGCTCTTCACTCTTTAAGAAGGTTAAATCAGTCAGTCAGTAAAATCGGTTAGTTTTTTTGACAGCCCTGAAGCAGTTTACTGATTTTCAGTGTGGTCATTTTACTGAATCATCAAGGACGCAGTTGAGGTCAATACTTCAGATATGATCGCTAAATTTCATGAGATAGTTTTGTACGACTAGCTGACTGACTGTTGATCAAAAGTGCATGCAAATAACTCCTTCGGAGGCAAGTTTGTTGTTATTCCAATGGAATAAAAAGTCTGAAGGTCTGAATTTTCACGTCCTTTAACAGTATACAAAACATGTTTTTTTAATGAGAAAAGTTGCCAAACGAGCAGACGATTCAGTTGATGTTAAGTGAATACCGCCGCCCATGGACATCTGCTACACCCGAGGGTTACAGATGCGTTGACAATCTTTTGAAAATTGGGCTCCGGCTACCTCACTCACCATACGAAACGCGAAATTATTTGTTATACTTCCACTTTACGCTGGTCTTCTGTTTGTCGTGGTACTTACCTGGACGGGCCTGCCCATTTGTGCAACAGCCGAGGCTGCAGCGTGGCCCTACCACCGTAAAATACCTCCTAATCCTCTACCAATCACCAGAAACCAAGCAACAATCGAAACAGTGGATTGCTACGGACAAACCAGCTCTTAAGAAGGCTAAAACAGTTTGTTCGGCTAATAAAGTGATGTTTTTTTGGGATTTATAGAGAAGGGTAAAACGATTAATGGCGAATATTATGCCAAAATGATTAATAGTTAATATTATAAACCGATTTAAGAAAATGTTTCTTCATAATACAACGCATTTGGCTAGGAAGGACCACTAAGAATGCACACCTCCGTGATTGCCATGGCCAAGCTCCAGGAATTGCGATACAAGTTGCTTTCTCATCCACAGTATTTGTCAGATTTAGTCCCTTTTAAGTAGTTGCGACTATTTTTAGTAATTATTTACAATATCATGACGTTTTATGCACTTATAAATAGTTTTAATCGATAGAAAAACGTCGTACTTTTAATAAAAAAATATAGGGGCATAAAACGTTATGTTAGATTATGAATAATTATCAAATATATTGAGCCGTGATAGCTCAGTGTCCGGGCGTTTGCCTTTAATTAAATATATTCGAGTATTCAGATTTCGATCCCGGTGCCGGGACCAATGAAATTGTTAATTAATTTACGTTTTAGTAGCAAGTTTACCAGGTGCTTAGCGGCGTTCATTTTTCACGTGCTGAGCGTTGTAGGAGAACATCGTGAGAAAATCTGTGTATTTAAGAAATAATAATAAAACAAACATTTCAAAGATACGTGAACTGCGGTTTGGTGCCTATATATGCTTTGTATAGCCTTTGGCCCTTTGCTTTGAGTTTAAATCCCAATGTAGGCTTCTAATTTTACTACTGTACTATTTTAATAAGTTTACATTTGTGATTCCTGCCTGGTTCTTGTTTTCTTTCCCTGAGACTACTTAAGGCAGGAAAAGAAAGCAGTTGAGGACTTTTAAATTTTCACGTAGGTTCGATACCGTGAGGTAGACATATTGCTCCACTGCATACATTCGACTTTACGAGTCTGACCCAACTTAACCATAACTTCTATTGATTTCAAATCAAGTGCAATAAAAATATTTTCTTATTAAATGAAACTAGTTTAAGGATTTTATCGCGTTTTTTATTTTCATTTGAACTCCCGACGTTTCGAACCCTTTCCAGCATTCATGGTCACGGGACAGACACGGGATAGATATTTTCTACTTATACGTAGGTATTTATTACCTAAGTTTAGCGTAAAATGTCGCTAATTTGGTCTTCTAGCACTCGAATGGTAACTATTAAATTTACTTCTCATTAACGAGACATTTAATTATTTTAATTAGTTTTTTTAAATGTCTTAATTAGTTTGCAAAACGACACTTGAAAAACTATATTAGTTATTTAGTTTTTAATAAATAACTATAAGTATTGAATACATAAATTTTGTGAAAAAGACAAATCACGCCTTCAACTTTTTGTACTTTTCAAGCTCATATTTTTGTTGCTTTATGTTGCGAGTCGAAACTAGAAGGCGCTAATTATGTATTATTTTTTTCTATTCTTTAATGAAATCTAACCTGTGAATTACATCTATTAAATATTTATGAAAACATTTTACAAATTACGAGATGGACGAGACGAAGAGATATTAATAAAAACTTTACCATTTTCACACCTAATTTAAAGTCACATTCAACTCCTAAATAAGAACAAAAATAAGAAAATAAGAAATTGAATAAAATTAAAGTAAGAATTTGATTATAGCTTTCTTTCACATAAATTGCACGTAGACAATTCATGGGCATTTTACTTCAGTGTTAACGTTCACCGTCGTTTTGCTGCAGGCAATGTCTGGTAAACGAACTCGTAAATAAGGAAAATATCCAGTCCATTTCCCTTCTAGGCGTTGCAAGATTATTCGGATAAGTAAGATTTTATGGATGAGGAAGTATTGTGACAGATCGCAGAATTACTTACGTACAATATTATATTTATGTAGTATTCTTTAAATTATTTATAATTATAAAAAGCTTTGAAACTAATGCATTACGGCAGGTAGACTATACTAAGAATATACGGTATATATATGCCATATAAACAAGCTTTGATAGAAAACCAAATTCGTGAAACAAAGCTCATGTTCTTTTCTTTTCAGAAGTAGATAATGAGAGAGGTTTGAGGTTCTGCGGTGGCGGATAGATGCTAGAAAATAGGTCCTATTGTCATAGCATGCTAAATGATTAAAAATATAAAGGTCCAAATGTCCAAAAACGTAAACGCTTTTAGACATTTATTATTTATTTCATTCATATTAGACAAGGATAGATAAAAACCGAAAAAAATGAATTGGCAACTAGAACGTAACCAGAGGTTTTTGTGGCGCTTCAACAATTTTTGGTTAGGTTAGGTCAAAACATCAAAAAACTGATTTAAAGATTTTTCAATATAAAATCGAAGAAATACGTTATATAAAATTAAGTTAAAATTAGTTTCTTTAACATTTTTACAAACTATGTACTATGAATTTTTTAGGTCGCAACTCACATTCGGACTTAATACTACTTAAAAACATAAAAGTTTAAAAGCAGTTACATTTGAAATATGAATGGATAGTTTTCAAGTAATAAATAATTCGAATGGAATGTTTCGGGAAATTTTAAATGTATTTTGTAATCACACCCGCGTGGAAATTTTGAAATAGTAGTTTAGTATGATAATGTGTAACATCCATGTTATAACTTTGTGCCTATTCGACGGATACGTAGAGACGTCCTATTGACGAAATATATTTTTGAATTTAATTACAATCAAATAAGATTTATTATTTTGTAGTCTTATTGCTTTTAATCACATTTTTAAATTTCTTCATTGACATAAGTTATTAACCGACTTCGAAAAGAAGGAGGTTATTGGTAGTCGTAAGGAAGATGTTTGTACGTTTTTTTATGTATGTTCGGGGATAACTCCATCATATGGTTTTGTTCCCAAATGGTCCTATTAAAATTTCATTTAGATCTGATGATGAGTTTCAGAGATAGACAACGGAGCTCTTCATGAAACGGCAGCAAATCAGCTCCGATTTCTGCTATCGCATAAATATGCATTGTTTTGCGCAAACACACAACATAATATCACGTCTGTACACACGAAAAAGTTAAGCAGATGTATTCAGTCTAGCTGACAATGACTCGAATATTTGTTAAACTATGTTAGAGTTAAGGTAGGTTAGGTTCTATAGGTAGGTTAGATACTATTATATTTTAACATCGAAGCACCTGTGTGAAGAATACCTAACTTTTCATCCCATCAGGAATTAAAACCCATGATTGAATAAAGGCTGGAAATATACTGAAACTGATTTGACTGTGATCGTGCTAATGCACGATGTAATCATTAAGTTATTTAATGCATCATATAATAAACATTATGTAAAATTAAAGATTATTAAATAAAGTAGGAAATAATTAAATATTTCCTAGCTCAGTTTTCGACCAAGGTTTAATTGTAACAATATGAATTATAATTAAAACATCTAACGTACATATATCGATAATCTAAGAAAACATCACTACATGATTTATCGCATTTCTGCCAAGGTTGAATTTTACTACGGAGTCATTGCATAAATATTTGACACAATCTTCGCTGTCCATTCTTTATTTTAATGTTGTTGAAATATAGATATTAAGGTTTTATCCTTTTTTATCGTTAGGAATATATCAATTCATGAAAACGTTAATAAATTGGGCTCTTTTAACTCTGGACTCTAAGAACTGTCGAAAGGTGTATTTTAGTAATTAAAGGATAACTTTATCTCAACTGCAGTACGTATAAACAAACATATTTAACGTTGTCGCGACATACTTTTTACTCATAAATTATTTAAAATTCAATGTATGGACCTTGTTTGATGATGTCATCAATGAAAGTTCTTATTTTAATGATTGGTACGTCTATCGTACGTAAGAAGTTATACTTCTTTATATATTCATTGTAAGAAAAGAAAAAAAAAACTAACAATGTTATCCCCTGTGCCAGTACTCTTTACTCCAGTCCTTAGCTGTAAAATTGTACTCTCATAATTTTTCCAAACGCTCCAAAAGAAGTATAACTTTAAAAAAAAATTTCCGTCTTTTCAGCATCGTCGTTTGTTGGTATCCATATTTTTAGAGGTATTAAAAAGGCATTAAGGATTAAAAATATATATATATATATAAATTTATGGCCTTCAACGCGGGTCCCGCGGGCGAAAAGTATGATAAAGGTAAATGTGATGCATGACTAATAAACTAAAAGTGAAGGAAGACATTCTTGCATAAATTCAATATCCGAAGATACTTGCTCATACGGTTTAGGACGTCGATGATCGGTGAAAGCTGCCTAGTTTAGGGGTCACATAGGTGAAAATGATAGATATTTTCAAGCTCACTTCATTGTTACTAAAACTATTATAAACATTATGATATTATCAAACATCATTATGTAAAAAGGTGTTCATTATAAAAAAAAAGTTTTGAAGAGGCTGAATTAATAATACTTACTCGAAATTGAAGTGGTTTGGTCGATGGAACAGTAATTAGTAGTATTCGGCACTAAAAAATTAAGAGTCTTTAAATATAAATATTTCAGGGCATTTTCCTTGCAGCGAGCGAAGCCGATGTTAAGTCATTCACCTGATGTTAAGTCATTGCCGCTGTCCATGGGCATCTACAATACATGTGGCGTTGAAAAAGCGTTGCTAAACTTTGGAATTTTCATAAAGTTTGAGTTTAATTCACTTTCACTAAATTCAATTCCACTAGATGAGTTTAATTATAAGTGATAAAATATAAGTGAACTTAGGCATATTATACCATTGCGGAATATCTTGACGTCGCCAAGGTGTGGGGTAAATACTGTTGATACTCACGTAGGCTAAAATGACATACTTGTTCTATTATATTGTAAACTAAATCGTTTTAAAAAGAGCAACTGTTGAGTTTCTTGCCGGTTTCTTCTCAACAGAAACTGCTTTCCTAACCGGTGGTAACTTACGAACGTATTAATTTTTATGTAAAATTTTTGACATTTTATAAGAACGCGCAAGCGTCTATTTGAATAAATATATTTTTGATTTTGATTTTATTCTGCGTTGAGTGCCTGATGCAATTTTATAACTAATGATTAGATCGGATATAATGTTAGATGTTTTATGTCAATAACTACAATTTGCACACTGGTATTCTTCTGTACTGTGTATTATTAAACCCTAGGACTCCAAGTTATTTAGAAGAAAACTAAGTTTCTTGGCCATAACCGGCCAAAACGAATTCTGTGATCCGCTGGAGAACTGATTCTAGCACCACATACGTACAAAACTGAATATTATAAGAACTCCTTTAGAGTTAAGGCCATCTGCTTGTGGAATAAACTTCCTCAGCAAATTCGTCGTGCGAAGACGTTAGACAAGTTTAAAAATGATGTAAAAAATCATTATCTATCCCTTTGTAATCCATAGATTTCATTGATAATATTCATATTTAATTCTTCTCTCGCGTATTTATTTATATTATTCATATTTATTTATGCTTATGTATGTTTATTATATTTTATTATATTTTGTATATTATTTTACTTAATAATTTAGTGAGCACACCACCTCCTACTATTCATTACTTTATTTTTCCTAAAGTTGTCTGGAAGAGATCGCTTTTTAGCGATAAGACCGCCTTACTTTATAATTATTGTTTTAAATTCTTTGTGGTTTACAGTAAAGTATACAATAAATACATAAATACAATGGTTCATATAAAATCGAATACTATGATATAATAAACACTAAACAAATCTGTCTTGCGAAATATCTTCAGAAGTAATATGTGTTTCGCTATGCAATACATTAAAGTACAAATGAAAAGGTACATCGTGAAGAAGACTTGTATATTTACGGGAATGATACAAAAAATAATACTTCGAAGATATACGAAGTCCGCCAATCAGCCTTGGGGTCACATGGTGACCTATGTCTCAATGCCTACACTATGGATTCCATTACACAGTAGGAATATATACAGGATGTTACTAAACTGTGTACAGATCTAAATATAGTTGTTATATATGTACAGCTTACTTTCCGTATTTACACTATAGTAATTCTGATACCTGACCGCATTTATAACATCTTTTGTTCAAGAGGAACGCCCGAGTGTGCATCAGATACTGGAACGGTCCAGTATGCACTCACTGAATTGCACACATTCAACGTTCCACGCTCCGCTACCCCCGTATATAAACCTAAGACAAACTAGCCTTGAACTTCATTTCACCACGACTGCAACGCTCAACGACCATAGACAGCAACCCTTGCGAACCCTTTTAGAATTTTGATTTGACTTTTCATTATTTTCACGAAGACAAGGACTATGGCGTGAGACAGTGTTAAGTTATCCGGTGGTAATACGAAAGTTCATAGACTTGTGCTGTTTTGTGAAAAAAAACGCCGTAAAAATGAAGATCGTGTATAGAGCGGTAAGTAAATCAATTAAAATAGTTCTAGAGCCAGTAAAATATAAAATTATATATTATTATATTATAAAGTAAATGATTCATCTATAAAGTCCCAAAAGATTCTTCCAGCAGAAATAAAACTTACTCATTGATAACAAATTATTTCATTTTCCTTTTTTCAATAAAAATATAAAAAAATATGTTTGTTGAAGGAATTATCTTTACCTTCTGTAAGGTGAAGATCAATTGCAAAAACAAGGTAACTCATCTAAATAAATACTACAAATTTATTCTTTATATAGGTTCATTTCGTGTGAATCATGTTCATTTTAATGCTTTATACCAGACACCTATTAAAACTAAATTACATATTGATAGTAGCAGTTATTATACTTAACAATTAACATACTCGTAGACATATTCGTAGGCACATAAATTTTAATAATTGTGTAGACACTCCTTATTAATAATATAATAATAATCTGGGGCCGCTTCATCCGCGTGGAATTTAAAATAAATAAAATGTCTAAAATAAAATTAGCCTTAGCTGCTCCTTATTACAGCTATCTGCCAGTGAAAGTCCTGACAAAATCGGCCCAGCCGATTCAAAGATAAGTCGAACAAAACAGACAGACAGACAGACAAAAGTTGTAAAAAATATTATTTTGGTAAAATGCGGTTATTTTAATATTACAAACAGACACTCCAATTTTATTTATCTGCGTAGTTGAATATAATTAAATAATTGCTTACGCAAAACTTCTACTGAGTTTATATACAATGTTTTAAGTACGCCATTGTTCAAAGTAAAAATTAATTAGCATCATTCCTGTCGTTGGTAAGTGAGAGTGAATTACGGTTTAATAGGAGCACGCTTAGTCACAGTAAGATGACTTAGAAAATGTTCACGCTTTATAGCATACGCCCGACGTCTATACACAGCTGATATTACTTAAGTCTTTTTTAAAGATTGTGGATGGGACCGGAAATTTCATCAGCGTAAAACGTATTATCTATTTAATTTGTACAATCTGTTATATTTGGTAATATTCGATGGTAGCAGTTAGGTGTATCCACTTGTTAGGTCCGTCAGTGTATTTTATTTTTAATTTTTTCATGTTGTACAGAATTTAACATTATTCACAAAAATACTTAATTTCATTAAATAATTGAATATATGATATAATGGAATATGTTATCTAATATATAAAACTCTCGTGTCATGGTGTTTGTAATTGAACTCCTCCGAAACGGCTCGAACGATTTTCGTGAAATTTTGTGTGCATATCGGCCAGGGTGGACATATTTTTCACCCCCTAAATGTTAAGGGTGGTCCACCCCAAAGATTTTTAATTACTACAAATAATTTATATGGCTGAACAACGTTTGCCGGGACAGCTAGTGTACAAATAAAATGAAAGTATTGTGTAAAAGTATAATACATCTTTACAAAGCTCCCTAAGCTATTTATTACTGGTCTATGCTTAATTTACATTAAAGAATAAATGCGCCTATCAGAATAAATAAGTTCATGTCATCATTGATGAAATTTAATGACTTACAAGATAATAAACTATCTTTCCTTTTGTAAATTTTACTGGTATTTTTTACGACTTATATAATATTTAGACTAGCGGTTTATTACTAGCTTATAATATAGTTTACTAGCGTACCTATAACTTATTTTCCCAAAATAAACGCATTCATTTTGGATAAAATATATCACGTATGAATAACACATTGTTCTATTATTTCATATCATCAGGATTATAATACGTACATCAAAAATTGCTGGAAAAAAGTGACGTTCAGCTATTTTATTAATATAATTGAATTACCTACCTCTGGATAATTAATGTCCTGTTATGCGCCGGTTTACATATTTTAAACATTTATACTACAAGCTACTTTCTTTTTTCATTAAATAATTATTCCTTGGAGAAGAAAACATAATTTAATAAATAATTTATCATGAATTGATGCTTTTAAAACATTTGTTTTAAATTTATATTTAAACATATACCTACCGCATACCGACATTACCTAGAAATAAGTTATTAGGCGGTTTTATGTCGCAGTAGGATAATTATTATTTGCGTGATACTCAATTAGGTGTTCCCACTGAACTGGTTTGTGTCCGTGACTTCAAATTAAAGATTTGCTATCTCTTATTCCTTCGTTCACATTGATTGGGGGTACACCTATCAGATTTGGGTCCAAAGATTAGTACAAGAGAAGCTTTAGAATAAAGGAAAGGGAACGGAACACTGGGTAATGCAATATGATTTTGTGATGACATAATTCACTTGAAAAATATTGCATGGCCTTTGAGTGATTAAGAAAATAATTTCTCAAATTATTTTCATGTTTATTACTTATCCAGTAATAAACTAAAGTGCACATTACAATCAAACATTTCATTACTTGTTTAGGAATTTGCTCGCACAACTAAATAAACATTTATTTTTTCATTTATTTTAAACATTAAATTTGTATGGTTCTAAAAGTTAGAAGGTTTATTGATTAGATCCGAGTCAAATATTAATTTTACTAATTTCCTCCATATGTAGCTACTTTAACGGTGTTTTCAATAAACCTGTGTTATTATAATAGGAGAAAACTATCGCCAATTAGGAATAAGAACATTGACTCAATCAAGAAACTTACAATAGAGCACCACTGGTGGTTGTAGTATCTATTTATCGTATATAACAGCCTAAAAATTATACGGCAACGCCTTTGTACTGACATTTCCCGTTTCATTAAGTTGAACACATTAGCAACGACACTGTATCGCGGATAAGGCAATAAATCGCTGCTAAATTGCTATGTAGTTCCAATCATTGCGAGAGGCGATAGATATTGAGAGTCGAAGCTCTTATAGCCACTTCTACTTATCAATCTCTATAGAAAAAAACCTGCCACTTGCTTAGAAAATTAAAGTAAAAGTAAAATAACAGCCTATATATATGTCAAAGCTGGGCAAAGGTCTACCCCGTACAGAGGGTATTGGGGCATAGTCCACCATACGACCCCACTGCGGATTGGCGGACTTTACATATTTTTATTATTACTTACTTTATTCGAAATATTTGTTGTTATTATTTCGAAAATAAGCAGGTTCCCTCACGATGTTTTCCTTCACCACTTCTACGTGATAACTCAGCAATTAAAATGAACGCCCGGACAATGAGCTATCGCGTCTCATTTGATTGCAAACAATATCGTTAATTTCTTACAATTATTAGAAATAGATATTGCAAAATTTTAAATAAATGTAGAGAAAAGTATTATACAAAATACAAATTGATTTTGTTGATTTCATAAGTAAATATGATTGTGTATTTTAAATTCGATAGTGTGATCGGTAGGACAAAGGTGAAGTAATTTATTGATCTACGAATCATCTAATCGAAAGTGAAACCCAAGGCCTCAAAGGAGGACAGCCCCCCGCCCGCCACTTTACTTTGGCATCATGTTTCTTAATCTGTAGATCTTGTAGCTAACGATCTCTACAGGTTTTAAAATTAGTTTGAGTACGAGTATGATGAACTCATACGGAGTGATTATCCCAACATTCGTAAAAACTACGGTAAAAACAATTCTTTTCATTCATAAATGAAATCAACATATACAATTGATTTTTTAAAGTTTTATTTATATTTTACAATTGAACGTAAACACATTTTACATTATAGTAACAATATCTTCTACATAAATGTACCTCACTTCTTGGACTATCGGTGTAATTAATGTTTTTTTTTAAATTTAGGAACAGTAATTGGCAGAATATTTGTTTTTCTTGTACTAATTCAATAATCATGATTTCATGTAATAATGGTAAACGTATAAAATAAAAACGAATAAATAACAGGAAAGAATTAAATATTAAATTTAGATATAATAGTTTTAAGTACTATACGGAATGAAAGTCCAGACATCGATCTTCAGAAAATAAAAAGCTGCTTTGGCTATTGCATAGATAGGTACACCCCTCCAAGAAAGATTTCTCATAGGAGACGGGTGTAACTTAACAAAAAATTCCATTACTTTCGATGAGTAACGACACTTATAAAGATCAACCGCGGATCTGTTGATGTCCGTGGATGCCAGTAATAACTTACTGTCATATTCAGGTGATTACCTATTTAAATAACGTACTAAAAATCTTTAGTACTTGGAGAAATGTAGCGATTATAGGTGAGTTAAATGCAGCACTTTGTATCAAACATCAATAAAAATATTATAGTATTATGATATTAATTTTAATGAGCCTCTATAAATAAACACCGTACAGGTTTTGTCATGATAAGAAAACATTCTAACGTGTACTAGTCAGCGCTTATGTAAATATTGTCTAAACTTGTTCTTCTTAACGTGAGTCATAAAGATTCATAATTCATAGCCGCTTGGCCTAACATACTTTCGAATAAGTTCCGGGCTCCACTTTCTTAACAAGCGCAGTTTTTGTTATGTGGCTAACATTTTCATTGCCTTTCTGACAAATGCTGCGCCTTACTCCCTAATTTTCTCGTATAAGTGTTACATTTGATACGGAATGAGAAGGAAAAGTAGAGGTTTAATAGGAATGCACGAACACGTACCGCGCATAATTACACTATTCTATCGCCATCGGCTTTCAAAATATCCGAAATAATCCTCAAAATTTTCTATGATTATTACTATCAATATTAGACGACCTCCTGCGCCAGCGGTTGTGGGTTCGATCTCCACTACTGAAAAATATTGTGTTATGTATATATTATATATAGTATTTTTCTAGTGTCTGAGTGTTTGATGATGCATGACATGTATTTATTTACAGAAGAAAAGTATGTTTAGGTATGTTTATCAGTTATCTTGTACCCATAATACAAGCTTTGTTTAGTTTGGGACTAGAGAACGTTGTGTAAAAATCAAAAAATGTCCTAAAACATTTATTTTTATTATTTATTTAATAGTGCTTTTCGAATAGAATTTAATGATGTGGACATGAATGGTATAAAGCGATCGTGAACATTATACCATTTAAAGTATATACAAAATATAAATCCTAAACCGCGACAGAACGTACTCATTCTAATAGATCCGTTAAATGTTAGATCCGTTCTACTGAAATAGAACCTGTCACTTTCCATTAAAAGAAATCCTCTATTAAAACACATCATTAAGAAACGTTCAACAACGGAATACACAATTCCATTAATCGTTGACTAATACGTCTGATGTGAAATCGAGAGTAGTGAACATGTGTGTGTATTATAATCCTAAGCATTTACATCAACCGATAACAAATTTCCTACGTCGCCGACTTTAATTGCATTTGTTTAAAACTGTTTACATTAGATAATGCTTTAAGCAAACCAAATTCGCCCCAGAACGTCCACTTTCTATGGTTACCGAGATTACGTGATCACTTGAGTAGGTATGCCGTGTTCTAATTAGGTACAATGTCATAAATCTAATATTTACGTAATACGCAAATATTTCCGTTCAACATTGCAGTTGACCGGTTTATGCAAATGAACTTCCATATTTACACTACCTGGGTAGTATCGTATTTGGGTGTATATTCCTATGTAATATTTGCTTTTGTCAGTTTGTTGGTAGTAAAAAAGCATTTCAGACGACAGTCAAGGTGCAATCGGTTATGTAGTTAACTGTTAATGGCACAAGTCAACATACGTTTATTTGCAAGTAGCATGTTTGAATATACTCTTTTTTTAATGGTTAATGATAAGTATTTGTAATTAGTTACATTTTCTTTTAGTTCAATTTTATAGTACGTAGTAGATTTTAACATCAAAATTTCGGTAGAAATTGTTACGTCTTCTGTTTTCGAAAATTTATAGTAAAAATGACATTTCGAAAAGGGTGTTTTTATAGAGGAATCACATTAGCAACCACCAAACATTTTTAAAAATGTAATAAAAGCAAAGTACATAAGACATCAAGATTTTCGCGCGGTAAGTATGTCAACCGCTTAGCTCAGTGGCTAGAACGTCTAGAGGCGTAAACCGCAAGATGCAGGTTCGAATCATGGCAACGGCGAAAAATTTTATGGCAAGTTTTCAAACAAAATTGATCAGTCTTTAATTCAACCAATTAAAAACATTCCCTTTTTTCTATTTTTTTCTAATTTGATGCTTCATCGAGTGATGTTTATTATCATTTATTTGTTGCGGAGTTTTGAACTTAACAACATTTTTTTGGCTTTCGTGACTTTACTAAAATCATCTGATTAATAACAATCAGACAGAGTTCTAGTTAAACCTTTGTTGGATAATACTAAAATATTCCTAAGCTAATATGGTATGTTTATGGAAGTTAAACAACTTTCAATTTCTACTAGTCTGCTCTTTCTATGCTTGCTTTAAAACTTTATTATAACCAAATATGAACCGTTTTGAAACGCAAAAAAATGAGGAATTTCCATTGAATGTCGTTGATAGTACACAACTTTTCTTTTTCACTTTTTATTATACTTCTTTATTTTTATCTCGCGTATAATTCCTGGATGGTTGTACTGAACCTGATGATAATTTTGATCAATAAAAGAGTTTGTTTTTATATAGCAAAACTAGTTGCTGCCCGCGACTACGTCTGCGTAGAGGGGTGAAAATTTGGTGTTGTTTGTATTTTTGTTATAAAAACAAAAAAAAATATTTAAAAAATAAAAAAAATTGTAGGTGGACCACCCTTAACATTTAAGGGGATTAAAAATAGATGTTGTCCGATTCTCCACCATGGCCGATATGCACACACAATTTCACGAAAATCGGTCGAGCCGTTGCGGAGGAGTTCAATTACAAACACCATAACACGAGAATTTTATATATTAGATTAATAGACGTTCAAAGTAAGGCAGAAATGTAAATAATAACATGCAATCAATTACTGCTAAGATATAAGAAAACTAAGAGATTAGAAAAGCCATATGCGAACTAGGCTCAGTCTTCTTATTCGACTTCGTCTTTGTACTTATAATGTTAAAATTGAATTTTCAGCGCATTACAGTAGTTTAACAGGATTATGTAATAATTTTATCTGTTGTAATCTAATAGAGGATGGTTTGATATAATCAGTAGGCGTTAACTGTACCGCATACGTGACATCATTACAGCTCTAGTAGTAGGAAAAGCGAAATCTACAAAACTAAAAGCGTAAAACTTCGTCTTCATACCACATCAAATGGTGTCGTTTTCGTTGTCACTTCGCTATTAGAAAATGGTAAAAAGATTTGTTTGAAATTTGTTTTATATTTGAATCACAAATGTTTGTCCGGACATAAAAGTTTTGTATATAAACAATTTAAATGTTGTTTATGTATTTGAATTATTTAAACCTAAATACCTTTTTGTGTTATATCCGAAACAAAAAAATATTATAAAGGTCAACACAGCAATGCGACAAGTTATTTATGCATTTTGTAATTTCACTACCAAGGATTGTTCAGTATTTCTTACCGATCGATACGTTAATAAATCGAGGGTCCCTACCACTTTCCCCAAGGCAGTTCCAGTATGGCAAGATAAACGAGTGATCGCTAAAGGGCAGAGAAAGGCCGGTGTCGCATCCTAAGGTTAAGACCATAGATAATTGCAAGTCGCATCGATCTTTGAACCCAAGTGTCCATGTATGTGTCATCGCGATAGGGAGGATATATTAGGGTACTGTAATGCAGCCATGATTCTATTATACCGTAATCAAATTATTGTACGGTTCTCACGGTTACTCAGGTGTGGAAACTTACGAATAAACGTCATACTTTTCACTGTTTACGCAATTTTTGTTTCATAACTAATAAAATTCATACACAATAAATGTATCGATCCTATTTAAAATCACGGCATGTGAAGAAGCAATGATAATTAATTAATAATTTAACCACTGTACAACCACTGTAACCATTGCCCGGTAACTTTTAAGAATAATCAGTTCATAAAAAATAAGTTTTTCTTTCAGTTTTTATATTGTACTTGTGGACCCGATAGACGTGTTCCTGTACACACGACTTAAATCAGAAAACTTGTAAAAAAAAAGTTGCAGTGTCCCGAATTGTGAATTTAATCAAGTCTCGAATTGACATGAAGACACAAAAAATTAAATTGAGTCCAGCCGTTTAGGAGAAGTTCAGTGACATACACACATACAAAAGAATTATATATATATATATATATATATATATATATATAAGAATTACAGTCGCATTCGTAAAAGTGGTTGAGAAGTTTTATTTGACATTTTAAAAAACAGTCGTCGACATAAAGGCATCAAAGTCGATTCCACTGGCGATGACGTAGTCTCCTACCTGCCCCTTCTCATTAAAAATCACACCACATGTATAATTCAAGCAATACAAATAACAAAAATTGAAATAAAAGTAGTAACGGATTATAAAATATGTTGCACTACTGGGTACTGAGGGTATCGAAGTAATTTATTAATATAAATAGGAAACGAAGAAATAGCTCATGCATTGCCGAAGCCCGTCGGAACTGTGAATTCCCTTAAGGCCGACTGTGGCTAATCCAGCCCGAAAAAAAAATAGCTAATGCATGTATAAGTAATTATAAAACACATTGTTGTTATAATAAATATGATAATGAGAGATAATACATTTAATATTTATTAACGCATTAATTTAAATGTAATGTATGAAATCACTGGTTCACTGGTACAGAGATCTAAGCAGAAATGTTTAAATTGACAAAAAAGGATGATCCATTAATCTGGAGCGATACTTTATATTATTAAAAAATAAATTAAAGACTAATTTTTGACCCCGAATACTTAATATCCGATTTCATACACAAACTTAGATTTATTAAACTTATTTACTTCTTAAAGTTTCAAAGATGTTAGAGCGACATTACGTAATATTAGGTCATAGCTAGTTTAACTGTTCAACTTTCTTTTAAAGTAATTTATTTTTTACAGGTCAATGGTTTAAATAATTTGTTGACTTCCTGCGATTATTTGTGGTTAAATTAATATGATATAATTTAACCGCAATTTAATAATAACGTGTAATGAACTATTTTTCTTTACTTTATACAACACCCGAAGGTTTTTGTAGATGCATTGACAACTTTTAAAAAAGTAGGCAACGGCATCATATATTATAATATAATATATCATATAATACTTCGATTTCACGCCGGTCTTCAGTGAGGCTGTGCTACTTACCGGATTAGCCTGCCCATTGAAGCAACAGCAGAAGCGGCAGCATTGCCCTACCAGAGTAAAAAAATATCTCTAAAATATATCTAAAAAAAATAATCATAATACTGAGATAAACTGAAACTTGCAGTATAATATCCGTTATCTCGGAGAAATGAGTTTCTTAACCTACAAAGAACTCCATGAACTCCAAATGAACTCGATTTTCCTGCGAATACTGTCATTACTTATATTCTTATGACCTCTGTTCTGAACTATATTTAATTTAGATTGATGGGCAGTAAAAACCGTCTTAACCTGTATTTCATTCTTACTAATTAAATCAATTTCAATTTGAATATTGCGAGTGATACTTGACATATTTATATCTTAATTTTTGGCATTTTCTATTTACATGATTCGTTTCTTTTCAGATGCGGTTACTAGTCTTGGTTGTTGTGTTCAGAAACGTCCTGTGTAAAGATGAATTTCTTAATCAAAATAATGTGTATATGAAAGAACTGACATCCAATGAAGGACAAGGGTCAGCCATCAACAGTTACAACTCTAACGTCATTCCGAACAATGCTAACAGTCAGTCAATAAGTTCGGTAAATGTTCAGTATTCTATTGGAGAAGATTCTACTGAAACTACTTATTACGATCGTATGGACCGTGGTCGAATTAGGAAAATTTATAGAATAAAAAATCCTTTTCAACAGCCCGAAGCAGAGGAGGAAGAAGCAAGTAAGCAAAGCGAAAATGTAAATTTACACGATAGTGATTATGGGGCCAGTAACCAATACGCAGGTATGCAATATTCTTTACCACCAGAAGAATTTCTGCATCAGACAAGAACAGAGAATCATTATCATCAACAGCAACAGCAGCAAGTTTCTACGCCACCTACTTCATTCGGTTATACAGCAACCCCTCAACCACCATATCAATATTCCACAATTTCGACAGCAAATTTTAACAATGGGAATCAACAAAATACCCCAATGCCAAACTTAGAATCTAAAAATCCTTCTCAAGTATATAATCCCAACTTACACAATTATCATTATAACAATGCCTATTCTTTTGGCATAGATGCAATTCAAAGCACTCCTTCATCAGTAACTTTATATTTATCAACAAATTCCCCGAATAATCAATACGTTGGAACTCCCTCAACCAACTATGTATCTAGTTCTGCGCCAATCTATCAATCAAGTCCTTCCAATTTACAACCATATTTATCTTCTACATTAACGAATTTTCAAACAGGGTCAGCAAACTATAATAATTTGAATAGTCACTCTACAGTTGTAGAAAGTAATTCATTTAATTACGTAGATAACAATAGAGAGAGCGATCAAAATATGCATGTAAATCATCATGATAATTCAGTAAATGGTATTCATTATCCAATAAATACTCAGCAACAGTATCATAACGATTTCCCATCTTCAACTCCAATACCAACATCATCAACATTGTCTGACATTAATCGCGAGTCTTGGCAGAATTCTATGCATTATAGTTTAAATAGTGTACCAATTTCAAGACAAGAATATTTACAAATTCCTCAACAAAGTTTATTAGAACACAGACAACAAGATACTTCACGTGATCCTAATGTTGATAATCAAAATACTGATACTCACCGCATAGGTAGCATGCCATCTGCAAATAATGTTATTTTGAGTTTCGCTCGACCAGAACACCAGCCTTATAGTATCCAAAAAAATGATAGAGGTATAGATCAACAGCAAAATAAACAAACAGATGTTTATTCACACGGAGATTATGGGTGGAAAATAGATGGAAGAAAAGCGATTATAAAAAATGATGTTCAATCAACACTAAGTCAGCCCAAGCAACAAAGTTACAACTTTCCAGCCGACAGTAATTATTTTAGTTCCTCTAATCGATATTTAGATAACGGTAAAGTTTTTAATTACGAGCAAGTATCTAAGTTAAATTCAGAAAAATTAGATGAGCAGGAGTTTGTCAAAGCAGCGGCTAAAGCCCACGAAAACATGAAAAAACAACAGCAAATATTCAATAGTTATACACATCAGACGCGATATTTACCAGATACCTTAGTGGATTCAGAGTCCAGTAATGTCGCTTATAGAAGTAACAATAATAATAATAACAATAACCAAAACAGTTTTATTAACGGCAACCCAAGTTCTAATATTGGCCCATATGATTTGATAACGGCACCACCTCACTATTATACTAATTCTAGAGACAATACTATGGATAATAAATTGAAACAAGTGATGGATGATAAAGGTTTACAGAATTTTATTAAAAATGAACTTCCAAGCGTCACACCAGATATTAATTCACAAATGAAGTTAAACTCTGGAATGGAATTGAAAACAGCATACAATTCTTCTAGTTTTATCAAAGATATAAATGAACAAAACTTTAGACAAAATTTAAAACCATTTTCTGAAACTTATTATAACGATAAAAATATGATATATAACTATAATGTAAGAACCAATCCAGGAGAGAAGTCACCACCTGGCAACTCAAATCCAATGGAAGGAAATTATGAAAAGCAGAAACAATACGAAATGCAATATAATGTGAACAATCTGAACTCTAAGCCACACTCTAATTTAATCGTATCTCCTTTAAATTACTTGGCTCAACCGACTTTGAATAACGTACAACCACACCATAACACACAACAATTTGGTATGCCACGGCCACAAAATCAATTAAACGCTGACGGTGTAACTAATTTAAAACTTAATGATATCCCATATTGGCTAACGCAAAGCCTAAATACGGGTAATATACAATTACATAACCCTATTGAAAATGGGATCATTTCAACAACTTCGCCACTTATGCTTAATCAAAATATTGATTCGCACCAATTGGATGTAGCTGCGAGTATTTTGAATAAGTTGATACGAGATAAGCCCGTTGAAATTAATTCGAGGCCCGAATATAGCTCTCATTCAGGAACGTTGTTGCCAGCAATAAATAACCTCAAAGTCGTTAATCCATATAATCTAGATTTAAGATTGTTGTCCGAAATTTTGAAAGGACGGACGTCCTTAAACGACATCAATGCATCTTTTATAAACCAATTCAATCAGCCGCATCCTCAGCGATGGGATACGTCTCAATTACAGCCATTAATGTTAAAAAATGATAATATTGGAAACCTTGCTGTTACACACGATGGTACTGTAAGCCCCTATTTAGAAATAAATAGTGGTAATCGTTTTCCTTATCAAGGCGTAAAATACTCACGTAGTCAAGAAGAAGAAGAAAGTCTTGTACCAATCACCGACTCTACGCACACTCATCAAATAGGAGCCGTAATAGAACAAGATGACGTACCGAATGAAAATAGAGAGGCTAGTGATTCTGATGTAGCAGGTACAAGTGATGATGACTTTTCAGATGAAATTGATGACGAGCAATTAAAACAATATTCCGGTCATAGGATAGAAACCAGTAGACATAAGCAACCAAATTCTTTAACTGCGGATGCTCATTATAGTTATCATAGAATATTTCCGAAAATGGTAAGAGAGCCTTCTCCGTTATTAAAACCACCTCCATTCAACACTTTAAATAGTAGAAATCGAAAAAATCTCGAACAGGTCAATCGGAGACAACGTGCAAACAAGGTCAAATTTTCTCGAATTGTCAAACGTGAACCTTTGTTTGAGAAAGAAGATTTCGCAAAAGATGTACAACTGACAGTTCCAACATTACTGCGACCACCCCCTCCAGCAGCAGAAGACAAATCTGATGTTACGCAACTTAAAGACAATTAATAATTTATGTTTACATTTTAATTAACAAATAATTCATTATTCACGTACAATCAGGTGTTGCTAGGATGTAGCGAAAACCACCAACATTTAAATCTGGTGTGTAACGGAGATATGTGTGGAGATATGTAAAGGTACTTTAAATGCTACGTAATATAAAAGTCATGTTTTTAGATGGATTTGGCATTTATTTTAATTTTTAAATAATGTAAGGCTGCTACTTTTTCTGTAAATAAACTAAATTTAAGTGACAAAATAAAATTGTTTTTTTAGTTTACAATAATTAATTGTAAATAAAGTTTTTGTTCTTGTAATAGTTCATGTTAATTATTTGTATTTGTGATAAGTCTTGAAGGTATTGTTATTTGTTAATATTGTTTTAGAAATATAAGAACAAATTTAATAAATACATAAGATATACTTGGTTTCTATTTTTCATGTCCTAAGTTTCTGTGCAAAATATTTAAGGATTAATTCTGAGGTTCAGAGTTAAATTAGCAGCAGGATAATAGTAGTCGAATTACGTTGTTGTCAAAATTGGTCATTGTTGACGAGAAACAATCACATCATCTACGCAATAAAACAGGTGTAGTTGTGGAGAAAACAGATAAATTATAGTTTTTCTTTCAGTTTTTTTTGCGTGTTAGGTTGTGTGAAACGCTTGTTTTGTCCAAATTGTCATATGTTGATACAGTTTTTATTGGTTGCTTATATGCTAGGACAAAAAAAATGATTCAACGTATCCAAAACGCATGTGCGCGTTTCTGTTTCCCTATCCCACGACGTGCTCACATCACTCCATATCTGAACCGACACAACTTGATGAACATGGCCAACCGAAGAACCATACACCTTGCCACATTGCTTTTCGGGGTTATAAAGAAAGGTGAGCCGTCCTATTTATTTGAAAAGCTAAAATTCTCACAGCGCTGCATTAGGACGGCACCTAGACTAAATTACCCGCAGTACCGTACGGCTGTCTTTAGAGGCAGCTTTCGTTTTGCTGCCACAAAGTGCTGGAATGATCTCCCACCCCCAATAAGACTCATAAATTCCATTAAGTCATTTAAATTTAAACTAAAACAATTTTTACTCTCTAAACAGTAGTCCAGCACTTAAGACTTTCGTTCTTCACTAATACGAACAATACGAACAAAAACACACACTTTCTTGCTCCATCTCACACAACACAACAACAAAATCTTCTTCACACATAACACAAGCATGGCATGTAAAATAAGTAATTTGTATTTGTTTTATAATAATTTTATTCTTTGTGTAACGTTTCTTACTTTTAGTCAAATGTTCTTTCTTTTTTTAATTTATTGTATCCAATATTAATTCTTTACGACTATTACGTAGGGCCATCTATCTCTTTCCCCCAAGGTTCCACTGAAAACCAGCATTCACGAAGATTGTCAACTTCGTGATATGAAGCTGAGTGGTGACCATTTTGGTTCATTCTAATCATAGGTATTTAGTTTTTAGCATATGTTTTATTTTTTTGTGTTATTATGTACCAAATAAATGTTTCTTTCTTTCTTTCTTTCTTTCATTATTTTTATGGAGTCACACAACTTCTATTGCATGAACAGACCTACCTGCCCATGAATACAGCACAGTGCACGGACTTTAGTAGAAGTTTCTCTGCTTTACCTGAGACTCATCTTCTCAAACCTACTGCAACTCACGGGTTATATGCCACCATGCCCTCAGGTGAACTACATGCCCGTTTACTTCTTTGTCCTATATAAAAACAATGTGAAACATCAGTGACTAAATTTATTTAGAAAAGCGGAATTTTATCTCATATTTTTTTAGTATTACAAGCCTGTCTGATATTGTCTGCAATTTTCAAAGAATATCGCTCTGTGCGATCAATAAGATAGAAAAACGAGGACGTGGTGGCGTCATTGCTAATCAATTGACTTCGGCTCTGCGAGTCGTGGCTTCGATTCTCACACCAACGACAAGGATTTGTGTGATACACAGATAATTGTAACTTAAGAAATGTAACTTACGAACGTAGGGTGGGTGTACCAGTAACAAACCGATTAAGCGACATTTTGAAAGTAATTTTGATGTTGTGTCTTAATTATTACAGAACAAACATTGCAGAAAAAGAATAACGTACTTCTAGTCTATCATAGAACCATGTTGTATATTCAGATTTACTTAACAGCTGTTAGGTTTTTTTAATTTAAAATTGAATGTGGAAAGTCGCAATGTGCCTAAGGTTGACCAGATTGTACCAGCTACATACCAGACATTGTGCCAATAGTGAACCAGTAAATGAAACAGTTGCTTTTAATGCAGAAAATTATTATTAATTATACTATTAAGTTTTGTACTTAACAATCATCAGTCTACAAGTTTCAAGTAATACTTAAATGGTACAAGGCTCATAACTATTTTAATAACTAGTTAATTAAAAAGATTCATTTCAGATAATTATCAAGACCTTGTTTCCTGTTCTTCCTCGATTTTTTCTTTCTCATTCCAATATTGCCTCCATTCGCTGCTATTTACTGCATCTGGTAGGCGGCTTTCTTACGCCTTTTCTGGTTGCCTTTAATTGGAGATTTAGAGGGCCACACAATTGCTGATGGAAATGCAAGGATTATTGGTTAATTGTGTTTCATAATTACTACCATTTGATGACTCCGTGGCGCAGTTGCCAAGCTATTGGTTTCGGCGTCGGGGGTCTTGGGTTCGATCCCCACACGGGACAACTATTTGTGTGACCAACAGATAGTTGTTTCGCATCTGGGTGTTCATCCATGTGAAATTTATGTTTGTAAAACGTCCTTACTTTTTGTGCATGTTTCTCTAATTTTTACGCCTTTGCTTATCTCGTCTATAGCTTTTAATATATCTTCCTCCTTATAAATGAAAACGTTCTTTTCGGCCACATTGTGTCTTACTAGGTGGTCAATTACTGGTAAAAACTCGTAGTATAGATTTTACCAGTAATAAACCACTGGTCTACAACATGGACATTGCGGACATTTTGAGAGTTTTTTACATAAATTGTTTGCAGTGTATTAAGTAAATAGAAATGTAGAAGAAAAAGTAAACAAATGATCAAAAAGCTAAATCACCAATTGTAGACCAAATGGAATATTACTGGAAAATAATTGAATTTGTGTTCCATTAGTTTACCAATGACAACGATTGATTTAAAATAGCATTTTCTGATGAAGTAAGGCGTAATTTTATTGCTTTACACATCGTATTACGCAGTTCATTGGAAATTAAGTTACAGCCATTAATATAAACAAAGATTTAAAAAGTTTCCAAAAACTTACCGTCGTCGTGTAGCTTACTAATATGGCCGCCCGGAAAGAAGCGAACGATTTTTGTTTCTAATCATGTGTTTTTACTGAATTATATAGCGTGTTTATCGCTCTTATTTATTATTAAAAGATCGATAGAAGTACGGCAATGCTACCGCACGTAAAAAAAGTTGCGGGAAATTCGACAAAATGTTAATATTTTGATGTGAAGTTAGAAATGGTGTACTACTGGTTCCTGGTGTGGCACTGGTGCACCCACCCTATTAATTCTTATGTAAAATTTTTGACATTTCATAAGAACGCGCAAGCGTCTATGTGATTAAATATATTTTTGATTTTTGATTTTGATTGTTCCGGTTCCGTTTGTTTTTCAAGGAGGGTTGAAGTCAGGCAAAAAAATATAGCCAAAACCGCTTACAACCTTACAACAATGAAGTGCCGACCATACCTAGGTGGGAGGTAAAGGTTAATGGCGAGTTTCAAACAATTTAACTTTTATTAGTCACCTTGAATATAAAATAAAGAGTGAAGATTTCGTAGTTAAATCCTTTTTATGCGCATAATTGTGATATATGTAAGAGGTGATTTCATTGCGTGTGTCTCGCTTTCTGACTTCGTCCCCTGAGTAATAAAGTGTAAATACATCGCAGATGTATGATTGAATTTCAAACGCAACACTTTTTTCTGTTTCTTCATCATCCGAAACATCTGTCGGCTCATGTCTTGCATGTGACGCGAAGATCAAAAGAATATTATTTCGCAACAATTACTCCTAATGTCATTTTTGCTTTCGACAACTTATTAATGTTATTAATTTGGTAATTTAATATAAATATGCATGCCCCCATAGAAAATAGATTTTTATACGTACTAAAATAAATACTATATGAAGTCTTGAAAGCTTTAGTTTTCATTCACGTCTTTTAGTTTTCATAGTTAGTTTCTATCAGTTTTTATGTTTTTGTTTTGGATTTATTAGATAAAATTGGCGTAGTAGGACCTGAACCTGACTCCTGTGCCTTAGACATTTCAGAATACTTTTCTTTCTTATCGTATAATGAATGCTCCTTTCTACCTTAATTTCCACGGACTACACTAATGTTGACTAGGTGATAATGCTGATGGCATTAAGTCCGACCGAAAATGCAAATTTGTTTGTCCACGAAGTATAAATAAATGAAGCAATTCAAGTGTCATGGGGTATAAATAAATAGGAAAACAAAGTTGTCTCTACTGCTTGAAAACTGTTATAATTATGATGAATACAGTGGTTTTGTTATTTCTATTTGTTTATTTATCTACAAGAAAAGTATAAGTATAGGCATTATCATCCATTCATCCAGTATTCATTGTACAAGCTTTACTTTTTTTTTTGAGTAGATAATGTTGTATATGCCTTGATTACAGATGTATTTATTAAATTTATAAAGATTATTAAAATATGTAGAAAAAGTACGAAAAGATTGTCGCCGCTGTGGGTATCGAACCTACGTCTTCTGCATTCGTGTAAACGGCTGATTGCCACAACGACGAAAATCTTAACGTCTTTTTCTACATTGTTTCTTAGCATCTGAAGCAATGCTTGGCGCATCCATTGTTATATCCTTTCCAGCATACAAACAATTTCGAATATCGTTTTACTTAATTTTTTTTCGAATATCGTTTTACTTATTAAATTACAAAATATTTTTCATTTTATGTTAATTTGATAGTGGTTTAAGAGGTTGCTCGAAGTTTTATCCATTTACCTAACTTTAAGCCTAGGATCGTTAGAATGTCTTTTGTCAACGGCCACAATATACTATAGGCCGTTGGTAAAAGAACAGACAGAAATACAATGAAATAAAAGAAAATACAATAAATAAAAGTATAATAAAAAAAAGTATGTGTATACGCACGTAAGATGTTATACTTTTTTAGCGTAACAAAAGAAAAGTAATTAAAAATATTATCCCTTGTGTAAGTTTTTTTTTGTGGAGAAAAGGGGCAAACGAGCAGGAGGCTCATCTGATGGTAAGTGATTACTACCGCCCATGAACACCTGCAACACTCTAGGGCTCACAAACTCATTGCCGGCCTTTTTAGAAAGAGTATGCTCTCGTCTTGAAGGTTCCCAGGTCGTAACGGTTCGGAAAGACCGCCGGCGGCAGCTGGCAGAGCGGTTGTTACTATTTGTTTGTTAAAAACACATTAAATGCAATTGCTAAAAGGCCATGGTTATACCATGAAGTAGGTCGCTTTGCAACCAACTTTATCTCGCTTTTTAGATGTCGGTGTGCGCAGGAATCGCAAAAATTTTTGCTCTCCGAATTTAGCAATAATTTTTAGATTTAGAGCATTTTTATATTAGAAATTTAGAGCTAATTTTAGAAACGCGTCAAACGAAGTATAAAGACATTTTCCTGTAAACGCGACTTAAATCTGATAACTAAAAAAAAATTGTGAATCTAACCTATCTAGAATCGACCTGAATACAAAAAATTTCATTAAAATCGGGCCAGCCGTTTAGGAGGAGTTTAGTAACATACTCGCGTACTGAAGAATTATATATATATAAAGATAAGCACCAACTTTAATTTACTACCTGAGAATGTTTACATTTTTCGAGAAAATACAGTTCTCAAACAACTTAGTATTGCATCGAACACCAACAGCATATAAAAATTCCAACAGCATAAAAACATTCCAATAAATACTTTTTAAAACTAGAACATGTTTTTTTTATTCTTCAAACATATTTTTTTTTTTACACATGAAAATTGAAAACTTCAATCTAAAAAAGAAATGTTTCTTTCTTCGTTTCTGAAAAAGAAAACTTAGTTGTTTTTGGCATCACACTAAATTGCTTCACCGAAAATTTACCTCACAAATAGTTATTTCGAGTCTAGGAGTACTATTTACTATGATTCAGTTTAATGAAATCCCCAGTAACACTAGTATAGAGATAAAGTAAAGATGATGTCAAACAACTCACTAAAATTGGGCTAGCAGCAATCTGTCCCAGTTTCAACCAGATGTAATTCAAATTTGGACTTGCTGTAGATTATGTACAGTCAAATAAATGTTATCCATAACCTATGCCCATCTGGAATAATGTATCTTTCAAATGGCCATAGAACTTTTCAGTGGTAATTTTATTAACACATTCCGCCACCCTGTCACAAAACACATCTTTGTCTTTTTCTTGTGTTATTTTATATTGTTATAATTACTGTCTTCATAACTTTTTTTTCTTGTGAATTCTTTTGTAATTTTATGTTTAATTTATGTATTATTATGGACAAGTGTCTAGATGAATAATTGTAAGCCTACGATTGACATACATAGGTTGTCTTATATTAAATTTGACATAAATCATTATTTTACTTGAGAAAGCTTAATTTATTAACATCATACATTATTGATGCGCACAAAATTTCATAGTAGGCCAACGATTAAGTAACTGATATTGAAATTAATTCCGTTGAATATGATGTCCGTTAGAAAAGGAGAGACGAACGAATAACCTGTTCGACGTCTTAACACCTCATCGTATCATAGCGACTCCGTCACTATGATATAAATATGAAGGAAGTTGCCGAAACCTCACAAACGAGCTTAGCTTGTTGGTGAAGAGACAAGCGTAGTTGTGTGGCCAGCGATTAGCTAAATAAAATGGCTGCTTTTGTAAGTGGAATAGGTTTCGTCTAAGTAAAAAGATAAATACGAAAACTGTTTGAAATTATAGACTTGGTAAATTAATATTTTTCTGTTTTATTTCAGACTAAACTGGCGTTTTTAGCGATTTTACTTAGTAGCAGTAATGCTGGCATCCTACACGACCATGGTCAAAGCGGCCTCTCGGTACCACCACCCCCACCACCACCCTTAAATGCTCTGCCTTCTAGCTCATATGGTGCTCCTTCAAGTTTCTCCCCTAGTAGTTTCCCATCTGGCTCTCTACCTTCGGCCTCATTCTCTGGAAATGGATTAATTCATGGTGACCTTGCAGCTGAGTCTCTTGAAAGTCACGGTGCTGGTTTCGGTGCCACTGGAGATTCTGGGGCCATTCTTAGTGCAGCGAGTTTGCCGGGAGCATCTGCAATTGGTGCTCCCTTAGGAGGACCTCTATTGGGACCCTCAGGCGGATCTTTTGGTGGACCTTTGGGAGGACCCCTTTCCGGATCCTTCGTGGGTGGTGACGCCCCACCTCCGGGAGCTAGAGCTCCAGTCATTAACGAGATTCACGGCCTCGCTAACAGCAACGGAGCCCCGACACAGTACCGCGTGCGCGATGAACCCTACCAGGTCCTGCGTGAAGTAACGCACAGAGTACCCCAGCCTGTGCCCGTTCCCGTTGTTCAGAATGTCCAGGTACCAGTGCCCCAACCTTACCCTGTCCAAGTGCCCGTCGTCAGGAACGTACCAGTCCCAGTTGTCAAGATCCAACACGTCAAAGTTGACAGGCCCGTGCCGTACCCAGTTGAGAAAATCGTCAAGGTACCAGTAGAGAGAGTTGTAGAGGTTCCGGTAGACCACCCCGTGCCCGTTGAGAGGGTCGTCGAAGTTCCCATTGTGAAGCTGGTGAAAGTACCGGTGCATGTTGTGAAGACCTACCCCGTGCCAGTGGTAAAAACTGTCCACCACAAGGCACACATTAGCCACCATCATGAACACGGACATGGCCATGGCTGGTCTCTCTGGTAAACTTGGCTTGTCGTCATCGCGATCGGTGTACCTCATATAGCATTATTACCACACCTCTCTGCTAGTGTTAACTTTTGTAAATATTCGTCACCATTAGCTCATCGAGAGGCTGCAATGTAGGGTGATAACTAAGTCATTAAGTTAGGCCAATGAATTGTGTATTCTTTTTTTTTTTACTTCGTTTTGTATATAGTAAAATAGGTTTTGTTACTTTAATAAAAACGATTATCCAAAGACACGGTGATTTCATTTATTTTATTAATATAATTAACTACAAAATGATAAAACCTAGCCAAGCGATATTTAAAACAGTATTAGACCGTTAATAAGCATTTAATTAACCTAGCTGGCTTATGGTTGTTACGTCCAACATGAGCACCAAAGATATCGGCTCAAACTCCTTCACCTGTGCCAAAATACTGTCTTTCATACAAACGATCATGCTCCTGGCTAGCGGCTATCCCACGAGTTATGCTTTTAATTAACCTTAAATAATCTACGGACTGAAAGCGAACACATCCAACATAGCCAAAATTAGGAAATACCATAAAGCTATAAGATAAAATCTAATAACGCATATTATATAAATAACAATTCGATAACGAATTTAGTTGCTAAGTATACAAAAGTTTTGAAAACATATCAAAACATATTTTCTTTATCAAATATCGCTCGTAGTTGGCGATTATTCCTGATTAGGCGTTGGGTGTCTATGGAGCAGTACATACAAAGATATCAATTAAGTAAAAGTCTATTATTTTGGAATCTGGTATTAATGATAAATTTATTTATTTATTTATTTATTTATACTTTATTGTACACCAAAAATAAAAATATATAAAAAGCAAATTACAAATGAATATAAAAGGAAGTACAATAGGCGGTCTTATCGCTCAGAAAGCGATTTCTTCCAGACAACCATTGTGAAAAGAATATTTGCTAATGAGACATAAAGAAGAGAGCAGAGGGAGGTGTACATGAATCACTTATGAACATCTGACGAAGGCATTTATACTTCAATGAGATAGTCAAAGATTTCGGGAAAAATAGGAACGGAAAAAGGAAAACGTGAATTCACAGTTCCAAGTAATGAGCTTTTAATTGGTGTTTAAAAGAAAGAAGTGACTTAGCTTGTCGAATGTGAAGGGTGATAAATATGTACTTAAAAATTGTGAACGTCAATAATTTAGAGAACATAAATATTAAATACACATAGTTCACGTTTATATTTTACATAGCGATCAGCGTCTTTTTTAGATTATAGTAATTTTGAGTGTTTAACATCTAATTCTAAACTTAGTTTTACTTACAATTAAATTTTAGTAAAAAGAAATGTCCATCTTTATTATTTAAATCTTTATATTAGTATGTATGTAATTATTTAATAATTATGGCTTTCGTATTTGATATCGATATTATCTGATCATCTTGTTATTGGTCGAGAGTTAATAGGTAAAATACTTTTTGTTGAAAAATATGCTAATGTTTAAAAAATATTTAATGGTAAATTTTAATGTTTACCTAGTTAAGGCTGTTTTCCTGTTAAGTGTCGTAAGAACCAAATAAAGTTTGCATAACGAATATAATGGATTACAAAAATGGTGGTATTACCATTACCAACATATCAGTAGTGAAATAAACAGCATGGATAAAGGCAACTCTCTTCTTGATATACAGATATTACAGTCAAAACCGGAAAACTACAATTTAATACATAAATAGTAACTAAGTTTTTACGTGATGAATACTAGTAGATAGTTCATATTTTAATACTTCGTATATTTTGCAGATTTTATCTCTAACTAATACCCTAGTATAGACCGGTGTAAAGTAGAAGTTTTACACTTCTTCGTTTCGTCTGGTGAGTAAGGTAGCCGAGGCCCACTTTATTTAAAGGATGGAATGCATTTGCAGGTCCTATACTATGTATATATATATATATATATATATATATATATATATACTACGGGTGTTGCAAATGTTCATGGGCGGCGGTTATCACTTAACATCAGGTGTAAACAGCCAGCTCGTTTGCCACTTTCTCCCATAAAAAATGTATAGAGTTTTGTGTTATTCTTGCCTTGATTCTCTAATAATAAAAAATTCTCCAATAATAAAAATAAAAATCTGTTAAAATAAAATTAATATTGGCAATAAGTAATAAATAGGGGTCCTTTTTTTGGAGTATTGCGACGCTCACTGTTTTTATTGCTGATATCAGCCAATATGTTTTAATTTTTTTTTACTAATAATTATTAAGTTAAAAATTTTTAAGCTTAAGTAGCCCTCTTTTAAGTATAGCGTTTCGTTATCTTTTTCAAATATATATTAATTGCAAATTGTGTTTAATAACATATGTTTTTTATGTTAGATATGTTATAGTATATTTTTTTCTCAATATATCATGTAACTGTGACTGCTGCTTGTTTATATGTCAAAATATAGTCAGTCGTTACATATCAATGTTTATTCAACTACAAAATAACCTATTAATATTATGTTAGATATATTACAAGTAAGCACAATCAATTTAAAAAAAATATTATTGAACCAGGGATTTTATTCTTAATTTAACTAATTCTATAGCCTATACTTTTGATGAATAAGGAATATTATACCGCAACAACTATTTGCGGCCATTTGAAAATAAAGATATTTAGACTTGAGAAAATCTAAACCATATAATTAATATTCATTACCAATTTTTCATCACATGGCGCACAACAACAATTATTGTTGTTTTAAAATAGCTATACGAAATAAAAATTCTAATAAAGTTTATATATTACTCAACCTTTTGAACTAACGAAAAATTCACGTTATCTACAAAGACATTGCGACAGGTGCTACTAAATTAAACTGAGCGATGATATCAATTACGTTAGGTCGGACAGTGCATGGACGAACCAGTATTGCTGACCCAAGAAATGAAGAACGGGCTTGAAATTACGTAAAAGGCGACACAACGCTGAACCGGAAGAAGGCGGAAATATCGGCCAGCCGACGTTCTAAAACTAATCAGCATACATTTTCTCACTGCCAGGTGAAACTATACGGTGAAACGACAAACCAGTTTCATGTCGAATTATAATAACAAATTTGCATTGCTCAATGAAGGGCACCAATGGTGGAATTGGGTGACGTAATCACGTTGCCTAAACCCACCAAAACTTGTGATATGGGTCAAATGATAATTTTATTTGGTGTTGCTAAAATGGTGGCAACGGCAGTTTATTAATATTTATCAGATTTGTAACTTAAGCTAATTCGTGACGCAAGAAAGGGCGCATATAATTAATATGTTTATAAAAGGGGGTTAATAAGTATTGCAGGTGATTAAATGACATACGACATAGGGCGATTTCTGAGATATTTTTTATATAATCAATGTCGTATGTACTAGCGATAATGTTAGTCTAATCATTCTGAAGCAAGATTTATCACTTCACGTATTTTACATATATAATAATAATAAAGGATATATAAAAATATATCCTTTATTATATATTTATCTATTTTTAACATATATATTTATTTTTTAATGTAAATCTTTACTTATCACTATTTAGAAGTCGAATGATGAAAAGTGCGAAAATTAGTGAACGCCACAAAAAAAAAGCAGTTACGGTATGTAATAATTGGCCTGCTTCGTTTATTTATTTATTCTTTATGCACAAAGGCGGACTTAATGTCATCAACATTATCCAGTCAACTTTAGAAAATTTTAGGTTTAGGCACCTAGCATTTAGGTAGGTTCTATAAGTAAAAAAACAATTATTGAAGTTTAATTATGTAAATGTTACATAAAATATACATATTAAAAAAATATACTGTACAATATGGACATACAATAAATTTAAATATATACATATTTACAGATTTAATCAATTAAATAACCATCAAAACATGTGAATGAAAAAATTCTGACGCTATGAATATCATGTTTTACATTAGCGCAGAAAGATTAGCAATTTATTATGACGTATGAACGAACCGTCCACCACGCGTAGAATCGAAAAAGTTGTATAAATATGTGGTTCCACTACGTTATCAAATCACAAACTACCGAAACTCGGAACAGACAACAACAACCTCCTCTTGGCTGGCTTCTAAGCGCTTAGCTAACAGCCATGGCGTTTGTTGTAAGTAGTTGAAATAGATTAATATAATATAATACTATCATAAGTTTTAGTTTTAATACAGGCGTCTAACGTATTTTATTTTGTTCCAGATGAAATTACTATTTCTGGCGGTGATAGCTTATAATGCCAATGCGGGTATACTGTCTGGACATCACAGTTCTGATTCCGTTTTATCTTCAGCACTAAATGCACCATCAGCTAATTTTGGACCTCCATCAACATCGTATGGGGTACCGGCGCCATCTCTAGACATTAACGTACCAGAAGCAAGTGCAGCTGATGCTGGTCTGTTAGCCGAAGACCATTCTTCCGATGTAGCCATTAATAGCGGAGCCAGTTTTAGCGACGGTCATGCTTATGCCAACGGCCTTGCCAGCGGTCCCGGACTTACAGGACCTGCTTTAACTAGCGGACCCTCCTTTGGCGCTGATGCCGGTTTTGGTGGTCAAGCTTTAGGTGCCGAACCAATTGTCTCGAATGGTTTACCGCTCGGTCCCGGAGGAATTGACGGTGCCGCACTTGGGCCCGCCTCTCTATCTGGCCTTGGCGGCAATGGAGCAATCCTTGACACCGGACTTGCTGGCGCGACCGTTAACACAGCTGTCGGAGCTCCACGTGTGGTCGGCACCACCGTAACAGTAGGCCGTGCTGAGCCATCCGCCTCCAGATACGAGCTGCAGTCCGTCGTTCAGAATGTCGTTCGTCGCATCCCAGTTGAAGTGACCCGTCATATCCAAGTTGCTGTACCACAACCCGTGCCGGTTCCAGTGCGCCAAGAGGTGAAAGTGCCAGTACCGCAACCTTACCCCGTACACGTCGACGTCGTCAAGCATGTTCCCTACCCTGTGTACAAAACCGAGCACGTAGAAGTTGAGAGACCCGTACCGGTAGAGGTAGTGAAGCACGTGCCATTCGAAGTCATTAGGAAGGTGCACATCCCAGTTGAAAGGCCCTACGAGGTGATCAAGAAGGTTCATGTGCCTGTTGAAAAGCACGTGGAAGTGCCCGTACCAGTATGGAAACCTTACCCAATTCACATCATCAAACACGTTACCCACTACAAAAAGAAGAGCTGCTGCTGGTAAAGGATACAGTCGTGATCGTACCAAATAGTCAATACAATTGTAAATATTGATAGTCACTAGCTATAATAATCTGTGTATATTTTTGTAAGAATTTTTTTGTATCATAACTGTCTTTTTTTTATACTTAACCTCTTCGAAAAGTCAAATTATGATTTGTTTTAAGTCAGAAATTTGACTTTCTCTATAGGTGAAATACTTATATAATCTGTCCGAAAAAAAAAAATAGCGAATGTACAGTTACTCTTATTGTCTTCCCCTAAATTAGTACATCACAGTCTTAGCTTTTTCTTTGAACCAATGAAATTGAATTGAATACGCCTTCCCTATTTTATATACGTCAACGAACCATCAGGAATATTACTTTATTAATAAACTTAGTATAGATTTGTTAAAGTAATATATTTTTAAACATATACCATTTGGTATGCCAAAATGATTTCCCATTTTACAGGAAAAAAATTCAATATATGATAAATAATCAATTTACATTTACGAAGTTTGTTAAAAAGTTGATCGTTTTAACTAAAGAGTATGTATAAAAATAAAAGAAAACTATAAAGTATAGTTGCATAAGTAAATTGATATTTCATATTAAGACTAATGGGATAGGTATACTTCGAAAAATGCATTAAAGGGTGAATGATAGATGTAAAAAGAGCAATGTTTTATTATACGCCACTACACGTTGTTATGATATTTAAACAACAAATAATTCTTATGATCAAATAAAAGTAATCATCATAATTCATTCAGTTTGAAAAAATTGATTTAGTGTGAAACCAGAAGACGGGCGTGAGATATATCGTCATAACCAATAAGCGTAGTAGTTATATTCTCTTTTGTTATAACTGTTGGGTTAAGTTACGTACGCCATGGCGATGAGCACATCCATAATATATATTAGCGATTGATTGAAGACATCAATGTCCTTGCGTAATTTATGAACTGGAGAAAGAAAGTTGAGGATCGGAACGATTAGAAATCCGAGATGGACATGGCCGAAAAATCCTATAAGCCGAAGAAAGTAAAGTCCTGGGTTAATCTCAGTCTACCACAAAAGTCCATTTGTTTATTTGTTTTTTTGGTTAATTTATTTGTTTTACTTTTGTCATTGAACTTTATTTAAATTACGAGTATGAAAAATTTGTTCATAACTTTATAAAATTTCATTCAATCTTGGTGCAAGTACAAGGGTTTCTAAGTTAGCCACCTTTAGCATCATGGATTGTGATTTCGATTCTAGCTCAGGGCAAGAATTTACATGCATTAATAATGCAAAATTATAGCATTTGATCAGTTAAGTTATAGAAGAAAATTAGCAAACCTAGATTCAAATAAAACTCTCAGAACCAGTTTTTTTTAATATTCCTTACGCTGCAAAAATATCATGTTTACCTTATGCTAATCTTAAGTAAGACAAGCAAAATTTTTCCATGCTTAAAGAAACATCTTACTATATTTGGACCTGCTATGACGTTAGTTTTTAATTTACATGTCTACATATTAACTTACCGTAGTCTTTCGAAATTACTGATATAACCATTCGTCGTGACAAACGTTATCGATCAGAACGAGAACCATTATTATGGTCATATCATTTCCTATAAATTACAAATTCAAATGTGAGTCTTGACTTTCTTAATTCTCATTAATGTTATGTAAACTCATTAGAATTTATGGCGAGTTAAAGTTGCACAAATAAATTTAACATCTGAGGGAAATAACTATAAGCGTATATGGTATGAATAAGAGAGGGGTTATATTTTAAACAGAAATTACAAAGTTCGCCCTTCATATTTCATAAATACATCATCCAACATTAAAATATTAATCCAATAAACTCTATTTAAACTAAAAAATGGAACCGTATATTATATACAACAAACCGTAAAGTTACATAATATAATATATACAATAATGAACAGATGTTTTTGTGTGAAAAATTATTGAAATATAAAAGGATTCCATTTCATTTTTATTCATTTTCAGATGTCTGAATAATATGAAATTATACGAAGAACTTTAGTACCATCAAGAATCTATACTTTTAAAAAACTTTTTCATTAATTCTCGAACTGAAATATAATTTGATACTAACTAATTCAGTCACAGTCACACAGTTTTTTTAACCACAGAGTTTCCGGCCGGTGCCGTTTTTGTAATCTAGTCCAGATCAACAGATGCCGTTTTTAATCGTCGGAAAAGACATCAGATTGAAGGTTCAACTAAATGTAGTAGTTAGTGATTTTATAATTATATCTCTGGCAGTTTTCATCAATTGTTAGAGCTTTATGTTTATCAAGGGAGAATATTTTTGTTACATGCTCACCGATCGGCTGAAGGAAAAAAGAATCGATAACTTGGTTATTCATAACTTTTGTAGTTAATGTGTTTACGATCGATTAATGGGTATGTAAACTTTTAACCATGTGCTAAGTTTCGAATTACTTGTTGGGAATTAAATATTACATTTTTCAAACGAGTCTTAAATTAACTCACAATGTTAATAGGTCACGCGCAGATTCGGTATTTGTAATACTGCTATTGTATTTTGGCAGCATAATATATTATATTATATAGCCACGTAGCAACTTTTGCTTTGTCATGAGTAGAATGGCTTGCCCACGGTAGTACTACGGCTTTGTTGAAAGCTGGGTAAAAATGCTGCATTGCATATAATATAGAAGGAATATAAAAATAAGGAATATATATTAAAAACCTTGAAAAACCTTGACATTAAAAATTATAACATTTTTTGAAAAGTTACCCTAATGGAAAGAGCCTAATATAAATATATATAAACAATAGATGTCAAATCGCGATGAGGCTCCCATAGTAATAATCAAGCGACTAGACTGAGCTCAGCAGCTTTTGCGGTTAAAAAATAAAACATTTCATTGATGTAGATACGGCTCGCTTGGTGTATTTTATTTATTTCCATACAATAATGTCTTATGACATTTTAATTTGTGGTAACGTGGCCGAAATATAAACAATCCTCATTCTCCAGAAGACGGTTATTCGAGCAGTTGGCAGCAAAGAATCACTAAAAATTTTTTCTTATGAGGTAAAGCATTTAAATAATTCTTCTTAGTACTTTCTCCTGCATAAAGAAGTGAGTATAATGCACCTATGTTAATTAAGTTTTGAATTTGAATTTATAATGTCGAAGTTGAGGACAAAAATGTGTGGAAATGACTCTTGTTCTACACTTGCAAGTCCTTTGGCTTCTGCTGAATTTATATTTAAATAATTTAATATTATAAATAAATAATTTACCAAATAATAACAAGACCGCGGAGTTTCTTGCCGGTTCTAGTTTTGTGAACCGGTGAGAGTTTTTAAATAATAACTTACGATAAGTCTATATTGAATAAAGATATTTTGATTTTGAATACAACAGCATAAGTATAAATATTGTTGACCTATATTGAGGCTTACACATCAATATAATTTTGCTTGTTAAATAATTTTAATTCCAGTCTTATCTACTTTATAATGATACGTTACTTCTAGATATCACATAAATAAGTTTTGAAAGAAAGGATTTTGATATCAAGAAGTGCCAGTCAGTTCAATTAGAGTACGATAACAGGGTTTTTAAGAAGTAAAATAAAACCTTGTTACAAGTGAAGTACTGGAGCCGAGGGGATGCTCTTCATGGGTTATCAACATGTCTCATACCTCTCGGATGTTGCGTCTCTCACGAAAAAGTATACAATATTTGTGAAATGGTGAAATATTCACGGTATGACGTTAATATTTACATCTCATCATCTCTACAGTCCATTGTGCATTCAGTTTTTTGTAAGAAAGGAGCGAAATGAGTTTGCCCAATGAAATTTTGTTTATTTTGGATTGCATCAGATTTTCAAATGTGTGCCAGTAAGAGCCATGTGGTCACCACGTATAAAACTATTAAAACGAAAAGATGCGAATAGAAATTTCCATCGACACTAATTGTATGTTGTGCAATTCTAAATTATTCCATTCAATAATTCGTTTTCATTTCGCTCCTTCGCTTAAACCTATAAAAACAAAACGTGCAACGGACTGTTGAGATGTAATCACTAGCATATAGTTACATATTTTACAATACCACAAATATTGTATACCTACTTTTTAGTAGTTCCACAATATACAATAGGTTTTTATTGCAATTAATAATTATAGATAATAAAAGTAAAAATTATTAAAGTTCCGTCATAGATATATATATTCCACTGAAGGACTTTGTAACAAATATTCCTACTTGAAGTATTGGTACGGAACCATTCGTGCGCGAGTCCGACTCGCACTTGGCCGGTTTTTTCAAGAAGCTGTCTAACTATATTTGTGTTGTTTCACTAAAAATAGTGAAGGCCTGGTAAAAAAAGCCTCGTAAAAAATAAGCCTAGATCTTACTAGGATCTAGGCTTATGCATAGGGTAATTAATAATGTAAATAATGTTAATATCGCTTAGAGTGCGGGAAACTTTGGCAATAAAGTATGGACGTATGAACAACGTCTATGAATGATGGGAAAAAGAGGGAGGAAACTGTTCGTGTAATTCCTACGCAATCGCGATTCCTACGAAAAAGCGAGAAGCTAATTATTATGCGCTTGTGCCCTTGGCTAAAGTCCCCGCTCGACAACACTAAATTACACTGGAAATGTTAATTATCACCACAACGACGTGTAACCTCGCCTACGGCTACAGCGAATTCAACCCACTGGGTACACTCGATACATCCGTGTTCCATGGCGGTTCTCATCACTCGCAGCTGCCAAGTAAAATACAGTCGACGGTCCTCATTGTTGCAGTTCGCATATCAAACTTAAATAAAGCGTAGCCGATAACCGATGTGACTCTTTCAGCTCAGGGTCCATCAAACTTGTTGTAACTAACTTTTCAACTGGTTCCGTATAATATGATGCTTTAAGCAGTACTGTAATTCTTTGTTTATTCAATGATATCTTTGATTACAAGGGTGAAACTCAGCTTGCATGGTGGTAGGGCCACGCAGCAGCCTCGGCTGTTGCATGAATGGCCAGGTTCGTCCGGGTAAGTACCACGACCTCACAGAAGTCCGCCGTAAAGTGGAATTATAATACGCTTCGTCTGGTGAGTGAGATGGCCGGAGCCCAATCTCGTCTGATGAAGTTCTCTCTCCTCGGTCTCTGAAGAACTCCGTTCATCGCGAGCCCATACCAAAACTCAGAAAGCTTTCAGTATTAATATAATAAAATGGACCTACGGTGATTCATGGTTGATAAATAGATCGGATCCCCACTAGATGTAGTGACGAGCCGTGCAGAATGTCGATGGTTGCAGGTCGAACAGGGTCGTGCTTCGTGACAGTCCGTGGAGAGGACTATTTGCAGCAGTGTAGAAGAGGCTGAAATGAAGATAATGATGATTAGTAGTATCTGGAATGCAAAGCTAGGAAGCTTCTTTGGATTGTGAGGACACAATCACTACCCCTACTAACTAGTTAGATTAATTTTAACAACTTAATGAGTTAAAATGTTAAAATTAATCTAACTACTTATATTTATCTATTTTTATTTCTTTTATATTGCCCTCACATTAGGATAACATTATCTTGTATTGTAAGGACGTTTAACAAACATAAATTTCACGTGGACAAACACCCAGATGCGAAACAACTATTTGTGGGTCGCACAAATAGTTGCCCCGTGTGGGAATCTAACCCACGACCCCCGACGCCGAAGCCAATACCTTGGCAACTGCGCCACTTAGTCATGAAATCTCATATATAGGTCATAAGTCGCAATACATGACCGTATTTGCTCATATATAGGTCATACGTCGCAACATATGACCGTATTTGCACATCTCGTAATTGGATCCAAAGCATGTGAGCGCAGGAGCTGCCTAAATGAGATAACAGTATTTGATACATGGGTTTTATGGATAGTCGAAAAAATAATGATGCAATGCATACCGTATTCTCTTTTCGAAAGAAAACGTTTCTAGCGCATCAATTATACATGTATTTTCGAAAGAACAAACTTTTATATATTCAACAGGAAACGGCTAATGGTTCCCGGAAATATTAATCAAGAGCGATCACTGCGTTGCACTAAGTCTAAATAATGAAGGACAGGCATGACGGGAGCACCTGATATAACATTACATAACTCCTTAATTTCACCGCTAGTGGTCACCACACAATTAAACATAAAAAGGGTTTAAATAGTAATTATCAGAACAGCAATAACTTATAAATAAAGAGTACAAGTATGTACGCGTAAGCCTAGAATCACGTATGAAGGTGGCAAGCCCACTGGTTTCGCCTGATGTTAAGTGATAACCAGGCCAAAAATAGATAGGCCCTTGAAATTTACAACACCCGTAGGGTTGGAGATGGGTTAAAACCATATAATAAAGTGAGCCCCTTACTCACCAGACGAAATGTAGTAGTATAACACTTCTTCTGCTAGGTGGTCGTACTTACCCGGACGTACTTGTCAAATGCAACAGCGAACACTGTTGCGTGGCCCTACCATGGACCCACAAGGGAAGCAACAGCTTTCAAATAATAAAAGAAGCAACAAAATCGGTTCAATCACTCATATGAGGTAGCAAACAAAAAAATAAAAACAGTCGAATTGAGTACCTCCTACTTTTGAAGTCGGTTAAAAACAAACATTCCCTTATTAATAGATTTTATTGTTTTTGCTTAGTAGCTTTTGAACTCATCGTCAAAATAAGTGAGAAATCTTACAAAAGTTGTTTATCTAAGTAAGTCAAATTCGTTTCGTATAGAAATTTTGAATTGATTAAGTCGTTATCACGATATTTTGTCAAAATTACAAATGAATTCTGACCCGGTTGCGGCCTACTGTTACGTTTTTTTTGAAAATTAGCATTTTTTTTAAAACAACGGGGTCGAACCTCTGATGCTTTCGGAATCGCCTATCGAATTCAAAACATAAAAGTACCTATGCATATTAGCATAGATTATAAATTTGATTCCACAGAAACGTAACCGATCGCGATGCCTTATTCAAAATCGTGGGCAAGTTACAAATTTGATGACGTTTCGAAAACTCGACTTGTGTATAAAATTGTCGTTGATTCTACGTTTTGCACAGACGTTCCTCGGCGCCCTCCAAAGCCACTTGTACTTTGTCACCATGAATTCTTCAGTAAGTATATTTACAAAAAAGTAATTTTAATACTATTTTGTAAATAGCGAAAGATTTTATTGTGGGCTCTGATTATTATATGCAATTAGATGCTTTTCTGTTAACGAGGTCGATCTGGTCACTGTGCCATAGCTTCCCATTAGGGTTATACAAGCCGAAATCACTAAAAATAAAATATGGCTGAAAGACAGACGAAACCACCCTTGAATTAGTTATCTCTATTTACCTCATTAAAGTTGAAAAAGATTCAATAGTTAAGCAAAAATAAATTTTATTTATTCTTTAATTTAATCATCTATATACGTATTGGCAGCCAGACTTGAATGGCACCTATATTACAGTCAACTTTTTTGATTGTTAAATGTACTCGTGAGCTATTTTAGCTCGAAATGAAAATGTTTCATTTCGGGCTAATATATTACATTACTAATGATTCTTTACTAGCTTGGCTTTATATAATTGTTCAAAGCTTTATTGGCCACCCGCATAAAAATACATGTATGTAGTCAAATATTGAACTCAAATTTAACATCTTTTAATATTTATTTCAGATATGGTTTATGTTTACGGTCCTAGCTGTTGTAATGGTTCAATCGAAGCGACTGGACCCAGGGCCGCAAACATTTGCTGAAAAAACACCAACAGATCAAAACCATCAAAAGAGAGCAACAGATGAAGTTATAGTGTACCTTACACCGAGTCAAATTAAGGCACTTCAAGAAGGCAGAGGATACCTCAACGCTGAGCCAGTTGATCAAGCAGAAACATCCCAGGAAAATCAGGAAGAGCCAGAGCAGACGCAACAAGAAGAAGAAGGAGAAGAAGAAGGCGGTTTCCAACTAGGATCACTCGAACTGAACTCTCAGTTGGAACAAGATGAAAATCAAGTGCCATCATCAATACCTGTGGAGGAGCCCTCATCAGAAGAAATTGAAGAAGGTCCCCAATTCCCTTGGATCTACAGGCCACCACAGGACAGAAAATTTGTCCCATCGCCTGAGGACAATTACGCCTACTTGCGTTACTTCCCCGAAACCGAAACACAAACAGAGGCAGCGCAAATTGAATCGGAGGAAAATGAGGAAGAAAGCGAAGAAGCCCAACCTGAGATACAGCAACAGCAACGATTCAGACTGGTTCCATACGAAGCCGCTACCGAGAAGAGTGAACCTAGCACAACTAAAGCTCCCCAAGATGAACAAATTAGAGAGCGTTGGTTACGCCTGTTGGAACAAAACCGATCGCTACTGAGGAAGGCTCAAGAGAAAACAACAACCACCACAACCACGACGGAGCAACCACAAGCTGAACCTGGAACGACTCTATCTAGGCTGCGATTCTCGGCCCGGTACAACGACCAAAAGCAGGCGATTGAAAACGAGGACCAGCGCAGGAAGAATATATTGGACAAGCAAAAGGCCCTCATTCGCGCCGAGGCGCGTGCTAACAACGCACCTGTAGTAGTCCGTAAGGAGGTTACAATTACTAAACAGGCACCGTTGATTAAACACATTAAGGTACACACGCCCGTCCTTGTTCCGATCCCGGAGCCTTTCGAAGTTAAAGTACCCCATCCCTTCCCTGTGCCACTGGACATATTCAGACCGCTCTCATCTCAAGCGAAGAAAGCTAAAAAGGCAGAGGCGAAGAAGTCTGCGGCCGCAGCCCGCGCCGAAGAGGAAAAGCCTAAAGTTTCGCCAAAGAAACCGGCTCAATCCGCGGAAAAGGCCGCGGCGGAAAGGCGCGCGCCTGCTGACTCTAAGAAGGAGGTGACTGTGGAAGCCCCATCACGTCAGCGAGGCCAGCCTGAGAGGATAACAATCATCCGTCACAGCTGGGACAAGTAATGTAAATAGCTTACTTTTGTTAATTTTGTACAAGTTGTTGAGTGTTTTTGTTGTTTTGAATTCATGGTGATGTCTGTTATTTAATTATATTGTGTGTTTTATAAAACTTTATTTCATTTATACCCCCTTTACGAAACGGTAAACCAAATATTTACTGTATTATGTATACTTAATAATGGTGAAGGTATATTCAAGCAGCAAATTAGTTCCAAATAATGAAGTGCCCCACTGCTTAAGGTTAAATTGAAACCTCTTTTAATACTCTAATTTATAAAAGAGAAGAGTTATAAAACCCTAACCATATTATCTGTAATGAGGTAAAGACAAAAAGCATCATATAATTTTAATAGCATTAGTTAGTTGTAAACGGGACAGCAAGTGTATCCTCATGGCCAACAATTTTAAGTTATTTATCGTAATTTTGGAAAAGTAGAAAACTTTTGAACTTTTTTTTTCGGATATTTAAACCTAATGCTTCCACACATTTTTCTTAAATTAGGTTCTTTTATCAAGTGGTAGATATGCTTTTGTCAACGCACGTCGTTCAATTAATAAGTTAATCAAGAACTGAGTAGCAAGACTATATATGAAATTAAATCCGTGGTTTGTCGCTCCCAGGATCCTCGTCGTGGGTAACACAACAAAAATTGCTAGCCATGTCTCGACTTACTTGTTCTAATATGTTCTGCTAAGCATCGCTTCAATATATAAATTGTACATAATATACTATTTCGTATGGTTACCATGGAATAAAAAGAAAACAATAGTATGAAAATATTATACATTTATATTTTTATTAAAACTGTTTGTAGAAACGCCCTTTCGGGTTATTGCTAATACAAAACAGAAGGCAGTTATCTAAAACAAATACAAAGTTTTCTAATTTTCTATGATATCATAGAGGAGATAGATAAATCGGTAATACTTATTTCACTATAAGGATGTAAATAATAGTTAATAGAAACTATTGTTAATAAAACCGTTTAAAAACTTTTAAGTTAAACGGTTTTATTTTATGTTTTTTTTTTTAAATTTTTTTTTGTTAATATTGTATTGTCATCTAAATTAAATGTGTGTACCAAATTTCAGATCAATCTGACAACGGCAAGGTGCTTAAATTTCAATTTCTAATTTTAAACAAACAAATTCCGTACGGGTCGAGCTAAATAAAACCGTTTAAAAACGCCTTACTTTTCTAAGCAAAGACTTATTTAAATAGATTTGTTTACTGCAAACATCAATAATTCCTCGCCCTTTAGACAAAAACACTTTAGATTAATTATCGGACTCCTGAAGCCATCGCTGCCTATAACTATCTCAAATTTACGTGAATAACAAAAATCTATTTAAGATTAAAACATCATAAACTTGTGTGGCCATTCTTGCAAAACAATATTTATTTATTTCATTCATTCAATAAAGTTCAACTTAAATTTTGTTACAACAACTATGAATTTATTTCATTTATGTCATTCTATTATGTTTTACACATACAATTTGTATTTTGAAATTTTCACTTAGGATACAAAAAGCATTCCAAATTCACTAGAAAGTTGGCCACACCTTAAATCTCCATATGTTATCAACAGTAACAGGAAGCCCTAATTGCATGTTTTAAAATTATTGTAATTCAAAGATTACGAAATGTAAAATAACATAAGGAGAAATAAAAATTTTGAAACAAAAATGTCACAGATACATCTAGTTAGCGAATATGTGGTTATTCATCTTCTAATATCCATGTAGTAATAGGAAAAAACTATTGAATACATGTCAAATTATTATTACTAAGATCTATACTATAATAAAAGAGTAGAATCGGCGTGTCTGTACATTGAATATTTTTATGAAAAAATGAAAAAGGGTATCATAAAAAGTGTTATAGGAAACATAAAAACCATTTTTGGAATTTTTGTCTGTCTGTCTGTATGTCTGTCTGTCTGTCTGTCTGTCTGTCTGTTAGCGATAAACTTGAAAACTACTTATCGGATTTTGATGCAGTTTTCACTGGTTACTTAAGCAAAGCTTGGGGCAGGACCTAGGCTTTGTTTCATCTCAATCGGGGAGTTATGGGAGTTTTAAGATTAAAGCAGTGCAGTCGCAAACAGTTATCACAGTTATCCTACTACTGGACTAATTTGTAATGGTGTTTTTGTAAGTATTTTTGTAAGTACTCAAGATTAATTCTGTGCAACATTAAAGCTTTGTTTTATTGCAATTGGTTCACTAAAAAAAAAGCTAAGTAAAAAGATAAGGTATGAGTTCCCATGCAAAAACTAGATGGCGTTGTTCTTCATAAAATGCGCTGTATACATATTTTCACAAGTTAATTAAGGGACAAGTGCCGACCGTAATAGCTGAGATTAGTGAGTTTAAACAAACTGATGCTAGCTAGACTGCTAGCATCTGTTTGATACATGTATCTCATAAACTGTGATATTTAGACAGTTGAAATTTTCACTGTTGACGCTATAACAACAAATAAAGTAAATCAGAATATTTTTTTGTAGGGCTCTCATACAACGGACATAATTTTATTGCCTTTTTTATAGATTATGGTATGGAACTCTTCGTTCACGATTGCGACTCGCATTTGGCTGGTTTTTAAATATATATAATCTAACAATCATCATCATTTTACAGACCATAATATAATTGTAGTTAACTATAGTTTCATCCAATTCAGCTGTAGCGATTACTTTTTTTTTTAAGTTGATATTTTTTTTTTTTTTATTTATGAACCGATTTGAATATAACTAACACTAAATGTTAAGTGAAGTACTACAATGCATAAGTGAAAGTTGCACCCAAATCGGTTAAGCCGTTTCCGAGATTACGCGCACAAACGCACACACGGACAAAAATTTTAACAACCATTGTTTTGGGTTCTATTGTGTTGATAAAGGAGGATCTTTAATAATAGTTTTTCTCAAATATCTTCCGTGTACCGACAAAGACAAGTAACATTTTTATTATATGTATAGTATCTGTCTGTATCTGTCTGAATTTTTCGCTTTCATCCTATTCCACGCGGACGTAGTCGCGGGCAACAGCTAGTTACATAATAGTACACTACATTGCATTGAGGCCCCTTTACTATGCTTATTTCTAAAATGATTGTGACGAATATAGATCAATTAATTATCAATTTAAATCAAGGTTTCTTTAAAGGTAACTGTTGTAAGGTAATCTGAGATGGAGCACATGATCTCATTATGTATTGATTTATTACCGAAAGTCAAAAAGCGCCATTATAACGTTAGTTTTAAAGAGACCAACTTCACGGTTGAAGAAACCAATAGCAACTTTTTGACATATATCTATAATTCCAAGCTATTTAATTAAATCTTTATCATTGTTATGCTGAAGATGTATAACTTCTTACGGGCGTACTTAATATTTTTACACATATTTTTTCAACTTGGCTTATTAAAATGAAAATGGCATTCACATTTTAGGATAGACATCAATCATTAAATTATTATTTTGAATGGCATATTGCGATATAACCGTTTTTATTTAGTTCACACTTATTTTATGCACTGTACACTTTCAGTTCTTAATTATTATCTAATATACAGCGTGTCGTTACATCGGCGACAATAAATGAACACACGTCTAACGCTACTTGTCAATAATCATAAAAAAATATTAATGTTATAATAAATACATAATTAAAGAAAAATATTTTTCAAACTAATTAAGTAAAAAAGAAACAAAATTTGACTGCATTACAACTGACTGATTCATTCATTCAGAGACATTTTCATTCGTTGCCACAGCGTCGCATTACAAGCCACTCCTTCTAACAGTATGTTTTGTCTTTTTTAAATTCATTCAACACATTCATTTATGCTTTGTGACCTTTACAAATGAACTTTACGTTACGGTTTTATACTTTGTTTTGGAAAACTTAATAACTCGGTAAATATTGATGTTTAAAGAATGTAAATTTTAATACAATTTTAAAAAGTTGTCCTCTATTTGTGTGTTAATTTATAGTCGCGATTGTGAAAGACACGCTGTATAAAATTCTCGTGTTACTGTGTTTGTAATTGAACTCCTCCGAAACAGCTCGATCGATTTTCGTAAAATTTCGTAAAATTTTGAGGGTGGAGAATCGGACAACATCTATTTTTCATCCCCCTAAATTTTAAGGGTGGTCCATCCCAAATATTTTTTTCTACCCTACAAATTCTTTAGAAATAATCTATACGACAAGACAACGTTTGCTGGGTCAGCTAGTTAAGTTTAAAAGTCTCTAGTAGCAGGGCCGGATTTAGGGGAGGGCAACCGGGGCTATAGCCGCGGAGCCTCTAGGCTAGGTGGACCCTGTGCCCTCCAAGGGCCCCCACAATAGAGACTTCGGAAAAAGAAATTCATTATCAAAAATTTAAATTATAAAAAATACGCTTCGAACCAAGAAGGGATAAAACCGTCTATCAAAGCTTTCTCTCCTGAGCATTGAAAGTGATTTGCTTCGGGAACTGGATTTCAGCGTAATCGTCAACGATTTTTCGGCAAAAAAAGCTTGGAAGATTCCGTTCGTTAACGCTAAAATTTAATTTTAGATAGTTATTGTTTCCGATTATATTTATATGTTCGTTAAATAATAAAAGAGTATATTCTAGGCTTCATAATAAATTATTTATTGGAAAACTCGACTGAAAAAAAATTGTTCATAATATTTAGAAAATAATTTGAGCCTCCACACATTTGTTGCCCCGAGGTCTCCACACCTCTAAATCCGGCCCTGTCTGTTTGTGTGTATGTTATGTTTGCCTCGGACTATACAAAGGCTTAATATCGAAGCATAATGTTTTCACGTTTAAATACTTCAGAAATTATTACGTTCAGTGATATATTCGTTACCGATAAACGTGTTGCTTGTAACGATTTAATAGGCGCTTTGCTAGTAATATTAAATGATTTAATAAATGTTATATTATATCTAGGTCAATAAGGAGTTGTAGTTGTATATTTACGCCCATAATAAA